GAACTGGTTTTACGGTTGCCGTTTCGTTTCGTTTCTCCTCTTTCTGTGTTTGGTGTTTTTGGTTATTTGAGCTTTTGTCGGTTCTGACATTATGCTGTCTGCTAAAGAAGATGCTCCACCGCGTCTGACACGGCACTGGGCCACAAACTAGTTATTCAAATGATGGCAAGCCACGAGCGATTCGATAGCTGAATAGCCGAACTTTCCTAGCCGTAAGACAAACAATTTGTAAAATGGATTCACGGCCTTTCTCCGCTCCGCTCAGCCACTCACCGATTCTTCAGGCGCAGCACCGTCACCTTGCCGGGGGGAGTGCGGGTGCGAATGTAGTAGTCCAGCTTTCCCCCCAGTTCGGGGTTGTCACTGCCATCGTCCACAAGGATGATTTCCTTCAAGGCCTGCTGGTTGCAGGTGATTAGCGTGCTGTGCACGGTCCGCAGCAGCACGGAGTACGGTTCGTTGTAGAAAATGACGATCACGCTGGCAGTGGGCAGAGTACTGGAATCGAAGTGTTGCGCCAGGCACAAGGGGTTGCGGTGGTCACCCACACTGCGGTTGTAGGACAACTGCTCGCTCAGTTCCTCGTTTAGGGCGATCTTCTTGTAGATGGCGTCGCCGCGCTCCTTGGCTTTGCCAGACAGGTGCACTGATGCTCCCTGCTCGCCCAGGCCAATCTTCTGTTTTTCTAGGTCCAGCTGGATGCTCTGTTCATAGGGGGACACTGTGGCCGGTCGAGCGATTTCGTTCTCGCTCTCAGCGTATGCGTTGTATCTGTCTCGAGCGTGGCCCCGGAGGGCGGCTGCTCGAACTGGAGGCGCTTCATCGCCGCTTTGCTGCTGCACCTTGCTGTACAGGATGAAGCACAGGGCTACCAGTATGAATATGATTAGTTTGCCATAAAAGGAACGAAACCGAGGCAGCATTCTGGTTGCTTTCTTGGTGGTTGTGGGTGTTGCTTTGGGGTTGAGGTAGCACTGGTCTGGTCACTTTCAATTGCAACGCCACAGACGCAGACGTGGCTGTGAATCCGTCTTCCTCGTCTCTGGCTAATGTTTCTCTCCTACACTATTAGCTTCATTTGTCACGGAGTCGAGTCGCTGGCGAAAATACACACTCACGGCGCACGGGCATTGGTTTGCTATGCATATGTTTTTGTTCGTAGATCTGAATGGCTGTGCGCGAAAGCGAATGAGAATAGGAATCCCAGTTTTTCCTCGTTTCTAGAAGCAGCGCTTATTGAATAGCGCCGCTCACCCGCTTTAGTGGCTTAAACTAGACTAAATGGAAATATTAATTCTAAGCGCGACGACCCCGACGTCCCTCGCCTTCCCATTTGTTGTTGTAAAACTGTTGGACGAGGGCGTCTTTCAGGCGTATTTTCATCACGTGATTGCACTATATCCCTTATTTCAAACTGTGGCGACACTTGTAAGCTTATTGTGCATTAATTTTTTTTTTGCTGTTATTTAAAAATTCAATTCGCGGGATGCAACAATTTTTAACACATGTTACTCGTTAATAGGTCGATAAAGAGGGTATGGAAAACAGGCAAAACGGCCCAGAAAACGCAACAAGTGCAAGGTAAAAGCCACCCCACTTGCTTAATATATCTTGAAAACAAAACGGCTTGTTTTCAAGGTATATTTTTCTCGCACGTGAGGTGAGGTTCGTACGAACCTTGCCATTTGACTTGTCTGTTTTTGCCCATGCCCATGCAAAACTACGACTCATTTTTTCGATGCAGGAGGGAGCAGCAGTGTGGCCGTCTGAACCATAGAAATACCGCAAATATACCGATGAAAAAACGAACTTAGCCCACTTAGACCCCCCTTTATGTAAAGAGGATAGCAACTGAGATCCTGGAACTGAAAAATTTCGTTAAAATAGCTTTATAACGGAGACTTCGTCAGATGACAAACATGTCCTCAATTATATAATATCCTAGGGTGCCTAATGTATCTCTTCCGGATTTTATCGTTGTAAATAATGTTTCGGAACTAGTTTTTTGGTGAAAAATTGTACAATAGCGTTATATTCTATGCAAATTAAAAAGAAAATACAGTATGTATGAACAAAGACTATATAAATAGTAGTATACAATTATGTATATCAAGATAAGAAATATAAAAACAAAATAATACCAATTCTTAAATTTTTACGTATATTCTCCCAAAAGTATGCTATGAAACCAGACCTGTTGGAAGAGGCAACGCCTTGGCGGGCCGTTCAAACCAAAGATTCAGAATATGTATATGAAACTAATTTATTGTTCAATTAGGCGAAAAAATTAAGTGTTTTGCATTTTCATGCCTTAGACTTTCGGTTGGTGCGAAGACATAAATCATAAATAAAGTTATCATGTGCCAGACACTTTTACTACCCACATTGCTGCCCAGTTGACATAGCAATTATTTAAAAAAGCGGAAACTCATATCACTTAAAATGGTGCCTAGAGCGAGGCTGGAAGCGAAAGGGACTGACTGAGTGACTGACTACCTCGAAACTGTCACACTTGACACTTTTTCTGGCCCTTAATGCACAAATTGCATGTTCATTTGTTGTTGAAACGAGACAAAATGGATTTCCTATTAAAAACCTGTTGCTACCTTTGACATGCAACACAGCGAGTCAGAGAGGTGAGCGTTGGGGCTGATGTTGCTTCTTTCGTTTCGTTGTTGCCGTTGCTTGTTAAAATTACATTTTTGTTATATCTAATTGACAAGTGGGGTGTATTCTCGACCCAACTTTCATTTTGTAATTCTGCGAAATGATGCCAACTATTCTATCTAAGTGGAGCTCATTTGGAGCTGGCTGTGATTAATTTCAGTAATTAACGTACGAATCTTTATTGCGAACGGTCGTCGCAGTTGGCTCTCCGGTCGCATATTTAATACGTTACGTATACGCATTGGTGACGCTGCGGGAGACGCAATGGGCCAAAGCAGCGGGCGGACGAGCAGCCGGCACAGCCACAAGCAAAAGTTCAAAGTGCTCTCCAGCCAGTAATTGGAGTTTCGGCGGGGTCCCAGAGAGCGAAAACATTTGTAGGAAGCTGAACCGCTGCACCGCTGAAAGGTGGCAACTGTTTTGCCAATCTTCGCTAAAACTCTTTTAATAGCTGTGAGCGACAAAAACTAGGAAGGAAATAAATTACTTAGCCAGTTTGGAGAGGGTGGCATGGTGGCTGGGCCTTTGTTTTTTCGGTCCCCGACGAAAAACACCTCCAAAGCAGAAAGAGACCGACACAGCGAAAGACAGACAGGGAGAAGGGGTAGCGAGAGGCAAGCAGACTTTGGAATTCCATTTCGTGTGTGACCTCAAAATACAAGTTTGTAAAAATGCATCAAGTCCGGCATTGAAACAGATTGGTTGCTTCGTTCGAGAAATTAACACCTCCTAAACCGAAACACCCTTTATTACCACCGAAAATTATGCATTTTCAGCACATTCGTGAAATAGTTAATGCTAGAGGTCGAATTAGTTTGCTTTTATGAGTTATGAGCCGCAACCGGATTGAAAATCAGCCACCGTCAAGAGCCAGCGAATACGTTTAGGTAAACAGCAGAAGTGCTCGATAAATAATTAAAAAAATTACTCTATTGAATAATGAGTGGAGCTCCAAACGAGGCCTCATTAATACAATAAAAAAGGGTTAAAAACAACAAACGAAAAACAGTTTAACTGCTGCCAGACATTGTTCCACATGTGAGCCGACTGTGGTTAAGGCGCTCGCCATAATGGCTTCAGCCACAGAAATCTATTAATCTAAACGACCCTGAAGAAGGCACAAGCAGCTGAGAAATGGTCATCATCCGTCAATGCGAATGGGCAGTCGACAGCGTATAATAATAGAATTGGGATTGCAGTTGAGAAATGCTTGCCAGAGATTGCCAGATAGTGGATCATGGACCATGGTCTGGCCTGACCTGACTGTCTGATACTTTCGTTTCGCTCCGAAAGCCTTTTGCAAATGTCAAAAGGTGGAGCAATTGAACTGAACGATGGCATTGCATCGGGGGTTTCAAGAGATCCGATTCAGATCCGATCTGATCACGGCTTCCCATGACAAATCAAACTGATGGACCTGGGAACCATAATGATGCGCACCTCAAACATGCGTATTTAAGGCCATGATTTATGATCCAGCTTACTCTATATTAAGCAGAGATTTCATTACCACTAAATTGAAAGTGAAAGATTTCGAAAATCCCGCCGGCGATGACAGTGTCAGACCATTGTATTGTATCACCCACTGGGGTGCTTGGGGTTCCGTTACCCAATCCCAATTCCAATCAGCACGCGTCAAAAGTGGCGCCAAAGTGACGAACCGAGTTATGATGCGGATCAAATATGCAAGTTGGCCCCAAATAAACACAAATTATAACGCCTTTATGATGGTAGCCAGTTCGGGTTTTGCATAATCGCAGACTTTGCTGCTGCTGCGTCTGTGACTGCGACTCAAACACCCGCATTGTCGTCCGTTTATGGCCATATTTATGTAAGATCAAATCATGTGAGATGTCATCGAATATTTGGCCAGTTCATTGGGTCGACTCATCGCCTGGAATGCACATTGCGTCCGTCCATTTGGGTTTTCACAATCGTTATAGATGGACAGATATAGATAGACACATCCGATTGTCTTTTAAAACCACATCAAAATCAATAAAGCGTATCGATCAAAATCCAAAATTGAGCATTGTCTCAATGTTTGCAGTCCCTGATGCGATGACTCGATGTCTATTTGAATATCAGCGACAACAGAAACAACCGCATCAGCATATCCGCTATCATTTATTTTGCGGAGGTGGCGAATCTCTATTCAATATTCCTTTGTTTGGCGAAGGTTGCTAAGCCAACAGCGAATCGGACCAGAATTAGATTAACTTGGCTAAAGAAGCTTTTCAATTTATTTCAGATTAGGCAGACAAAGAAAATGTGGTAAAAAAGTGACTCGCAATATCCATGATCTCCAGATCGTATGTATCTCTGCGTCGACCTCAATTCGGGGCTCTGCATCGCCCCCATTTCGACCAGAACCGGGAGACCCAGAGCTCCAGGGCAAAGCAAAAGCAGCAAAGCAGCATAGCAACCATGTACAACGACATTATCCAGGATATATCCTCCAAAAAAATGGCATCCCATAAGGCCTCCGGCGAGCTAAAGTCCTTCAGCGGAGTCAGGCGAAGCCTCACCATGTCGTAGAAGCTTCTGTCTATCCAAAACTTGAGGAAGCCGAACTCCTTTTGCCGCAGCATATGCTCCTCGAAGAGCTCGCGGTACGGCAGGTGCCGGCGCACCTGCACAGCGAGAAAGAAGAAACGGTTGATGCAAATGTCGTCCGAGAAGTAGAAGACGGGCTCGGCAAAGAACTTCTGCTGCTCCACGTAGGTGTGCCAGCGCAAATTCGTTACCGGAAAGATGAAGCTGGCATTGAAGGATTCTCGCAGATTAAGAAACTCGTTGTAGTCCTCAAAGACGCAGGTGCGATTTTCGCTCAGTTGGTGGATTCCTTGAAATCCGGAGGCCAGCAGCAACTTCAAATCGGCTTGGCTGATGGCGACCTTATAGCGGGAGTGTTGCACATCGTTGAAGGAGCGGAGCAGGGGCTCAGGCGGCGGACTCGTAAAGAAGGACTGCAGATAGGCCTCGTACATGGTGGTCATCATCACACTCGCGAAGCACAGCAGGAAGCAGACAAGCTTCATTTGTTTGCTGGAGTCACGGGGAAACGGAAAGGACTGGCCCAGGAGGCCGCGCAGACTCTTGTCGTTCAGCAGGATGTTTGCCACGGTGAGACCTTTCCAGGACATCTGCTGGCTGTAGATCAGGAGGAGCGAGAATAAGCAGAACAGGACGAAGATGATCCCCAGAACGAGGGGATCCACAATCATCGTGTATATCTGTCGATATGGCACCTTGGGCGGATGTGGGACCATAAAGCAGAAGCTTCCCGTCACATACGGATAGGTCATCGTGTCGAAGTTCGATCTTATCCAAGTGGTATCCAGGGACATTCCAATATCGAGAAGATCCTCATCCACCCACTTGGATATGTTCCCATAGTAATTAAGTATTCCGACCTTCGATCTAAGTTCCGAAGTCAGCTGTAATCTGGCATTTAACTTCTGGGCGAAGCTATTCAACAGATTCGCCACGAAACCGGTCATTTTCTCCTCGCCAGTCTTCTCATCATGATACGACATAGATCGGGGGGCCAATTGATCCGCCAGAGTTTTGATTGTGGCCCCGCGCATATTTCTGAATTGTTCCACAAAAATTGGTTTATGGTCGAATAGATCCAGCTCTTCAAAGTTGAGCTCTTGAAAGCAGCGACAGGTGTAGATGCTGCCTGATTGAACAAAGTCCGCCTTCACCATGGCTATGTTGTATTGCTCTTTGAGAGAGTAGTTGTGGCAGACCTCCTCTGGCTGAATGTCTTCCGTAAGGTATAGCAAACGCCTTCTCATTTGCAGCTTCATCAGGGTGCGATAGTTGCCCTCCCTCTCCGCACTAGCTCCACAGCTCAAGATTAGTGTCGAGCTGCTGAAGTTCCAATCGTAGTCCGAGCTGCCCGAGGACGCCAGCACAGTGGACGCTTCCAGGCGTTTGGAGAGCGTATGGAAAACGCACTCCTGTCCGTAGATGAGCAGAGTGTCGAAGTGTTCCTCAAGACGCAGTCGCAGAAGCAGGCGCAGCAATGTTTCCTCCAGGTCCAACTCACTCCGATTGGTGATATCTGAGAGTTGGCCACCAACATCTCCGAGGCAAAAGAGGAGGACGACAATCCCCAGCGAGGCCATAGCAAAACTGTTGAGAAATCCCTCGATGCATAGACTTTTGGTAACGCTAGTGTTTCAGCCCCTGGTTGATTCCCTGGCATGCAGTTTTCGTGTTCCTCGCAGCTTGTTAACACGGTCGGGTGTGGACATGGCTGCACAGCTGTGAAGGTCGTGGCGGTGTCCGTGCTTGGGCAATTAGCTGCTTTATTAAAAATTCATTAGTCCGAATAGGTCGGCAAATAAACGCTTTAGATGGGCTCGAGATAAGTGGTTGAATTAATGTTGGAGGATGGCATTGTGCGGCTTTCTCCTTCTTCTCCAAAACCAAAGCTCGAGGATAAAGCAGCAGCAACTTATACCCATGGCTGCCCCATAGAGCTTCAGTATCCAGGAGATGTCATTCACCAGAATGGACGGGTTGATATATGGCGGCAGGCTGGAATCCCTCATGGGCGTAACACCAAGCCTTACCATGTCGAAGAAGCTCCTGCTCTTCCAGAATTTCACTAATCCGAACTCTTGCTGCCGCTGCATGTGCTCCTCGAAGAGGTGCCGGTATGGCAGGTGGGGACGCAGTGGGATATGGAAAAACAGAAAGCGATTGAAGCAGAGATCGAGTGAGTAGTAGAACAAGGGCTGCGCAAACATCCTCTGCTGCTCCTGGTAGGTACTCCAGCGATCCTCGCTTACCGTGTAAACGTAGCTGTCATTAAATGAATTGCGTAGAAGCACGAAATCCTCATGATCTTCGAGGACACAAATACGATTCCTGCGTATCAGGTGAATATTGGAACTTTTACGGGCGGACAAAACGTTCATCTCAAATCTACTGATGGCGAGCTTGTGGCGGGAATTGGCTATATCCTGGAAGGTGCGGATCGATGGCTCAGGCGGAGGGCGCGTGAAGAACGACTGAAGATACGACTCGTACATGGTGGTGATCATCAGACTAGCGAAGCACAGAATGAAGAAGACGAGCTTCATGTTCCTCCTTGGGTCTCGCGGAAACGGAAACGACTGGCCCAAAAGGCCGCGCAGGCTCTTGTCGTTCAGCAGAATATTGGCCAGGGTGAGGCCTCGCCAGGATAATTGCTGGCTGTAGATCAGCAGAGCTGAGAGCAGGTAGAAAAGAACGAGGATGATGCAGAGCACAAGTGGATCTACTATAACTGCATATATCTGGTTGTACGGCAGCCTGGCGGGGATCGGAACCATCAGGCAGTACGATGTCAGCAAATAAGGATAGCTGAATGAATCCAAATTCAGTACCTGCAGAGAGCTTACCATGGTGGTGCCAAGGTCTAAACGATCCTCCTTCACCCATCTTACTATGTCCTTAAATACGGACTCTGTCTTCTCGCCATCCTTCCTTACGGAACGAAAGTCCAAGGTTGCATTCACCTTCTGGGCGAAGCTATTGATCAGATTGGCCACGTAACCAACCATTTTCTCCTCGCCAGTCTTCTCATCATGATACGACATAGATCGGGGGGCCAATTGATCCGCCAGAGTTTTGATTGTGGCCCCGCGCATATTTCTGAATTGTTCCACAAAAATTGGTTTATGGTCGAATAGATCCAGCTCTTCAAAGTTGAGCTCTTGAAAGCAGCGACAGGTGTAGATGCTGCCTGATTGAACAAAGTCCGCCTTCACCATGGCTATGTTGTATTGCTCTTTGAGAGAGTAGTTGTGGCAGACCTCCTCTGGCTGATTGTCTTCCGTAAGGTATAGCAAACGCCTTCTCATTTGCAGCTTCATCAGGGTGCGATAGTTGCCCTCCCTCTCAGCACTAGCTCCACAGCTCAAGATTAGTGTCGAGCTGCTAAAGTTCCAATCGGATTCAGTGCTTCCTGAGGACACCAGCTCAGTGGGTCCCAACGAGTGTCTCAGCATTGAATGGAATGCGCATTCTTCTCCGTAGATGACCAGAGTGTCAAAGCTCTGCTCCACACGCAGTCTCAGAAGCAATCTTAGCAACTTCTCCTCCAAGTCTACTCCTTCGTGAATGCTTAAAATGGACAGTTGGGCAGTTACCTGCCCGAGACAGAGTAGAGCCACAACGAGCCGTTCTGAAGTCATCGCGAAACTGTTTGAAAATCCGGCCGGTCGCCAATTTCTGTGGCACAACCAGTGTCGGACACTGTTTAGAAGGAGATGTGCTGGCATGCACTTTTCATGTTCAAACCTGATGAAACCTGCAGAGGGGCAACGTCAGGGCACGACCCATGCAAGGGTAATTAGCGACTGTACATTTCTCTCAGACTGATTGGACGGTGAGAATGTAAGCGGTTCCACGCACAGCCAGTTGTTGGACTTGTTGCTCGGCTCAGGCGCGTGAGACTGCATCATTTGAATGGGGGCTTGTGGGGCTCTTAACAACTTCCGCTCCACAGCCGGGCAACAACTCTAACGCCAGCTCCGGCTCCAGCTGCACTTCCAATTCAAATGCGATTGAATGTTTGGCATGTTCAGCAGATGCAGATGAGAGCGATAGACAGACAGACCCAAAACAATTCGATTGCTGAAATGAAATTTTCCGGCAATTTGGGCATAGTCAAGCTCATTGCATTCGATTTTCGGCTTGACTTTGACTCCGTTCCTCATCGAAAGTGTGGAAATGCAAACATTTCGCTTTGTGCTCTTAATTGCAGTGCAAGTGGATTTCAATTATTCAAATGAGTCGCTTCCCTGGCATGCCACTCGAAATCTCTCTCGGGGCTGCACTTCCGAATTTTCGCTCCTCCAAAACTGGTCTAGACCATGTCGCCTTAATGGCGAACAAACGACACAGAGCCAGACCAGCAGTCGGAGAAGGCGAAGAGGAGGCCGAACTGGAACTGAATTTCTTCTGCTTCATCATCATCTCGTGCTGATATCGTGGCTTTATCTCTTTGCCTGCCTTTTGCCATTTGGCTCTCTGCTGCTGTTGCTGCTGCTGCTGCTGTTGGGAATGACGTTTCAGCGAAAGTTGTTACGTTACCATCGACAACCAGCACCGACGACAAAACACTGAAAGCCTATGCAAAACCGGTCGGTCATTGATTTTTGGTTACTGCAAATTGTCTGGCCATGACCAGCTCTGGAGGGAGACCAGCTCATCTCCAGCTGCAACTGCAGCTACAAAAATGTCTCGCTCCACGCTGCGTATACTCGATTTGGCCGCAACGACTTTGGATGGAGTGTGCGCAAGTGCCAGTGCGTGGCTAATTTACAGCTTATGGCTGGCTGTGTCTCCACAGCCACCCCAGATTAACATTGTTCAATATTTGTTCGGAGTAAATATTATTTCAATACGCAAACAATTGGGATGAAGCCGATTCATCGGCTGGACGACTACTGTAAAGAAAAAGAATCTCCGCTGATTCGTTTCTATTCAGAGAAGTCTTTTATTTTTATCAAAACTGAGTGGCATTAAATGTTGAAATATTGCGTCACAAAAAAGGAAATAAAGGATAATAAACTGTTGGTACATTTATGTTACCAGTAAGCTTTCACGCAACTTCTGAGTTGTGGGATCTACAAAGATTCTAGTATGTTTCCACATTCTTATAAGCCCTACAGTACTTTTTATATTACATTAAATATTCCCTGTACTATATATTAAATGTTAAATATTTGAATAGGAACGTTTTCCCAGGCCAACGCCCATTGGGTCGGCTCTCTTTATTCACTTCCTTTCACTTCTTGGACAGGCTTGGCAAATTGCTTGTAACCCAGGGAGCTATAAACAAACCCAGAGCCACCGAAATCTGCACAATCTGCTCATTATGTCTTCGATTGTGTTTCTGTGTTGATGTATTGTTTTTCTTCTTTTCGGCGGACTGCATGTATTTTTGGCGTGGCTCTCTTAGCGGTAATGTGCCCACTTTGGGCTTGTTTGTCGGGCATTTTGCCGGCGTTTTTAACACACATTGACCAGGGCATTGTTGTAGATTCGGTTAACTGTCTGGCGGCACAATTCCAGCTTCAGTTCGGGGCTACTCTCTTTCATTTCTTTCGGTTTCGGTTTCGGTTTCGTTTCGTTTCGTTTCCTCCACTCCATTCCAGTGGATCGGATAGGAGTAGATTGGAGGCTGAAGCAGTTGCCATTGAAAGTAAGGCTGAAATGAGCCGTTGGCATCCAGATTCACTTTCGATGCTTTGATTGAGAATGCTTGAGTCCGGTATTGGAATCATCAGGTCGTCAGAGTATCAAACTCACCTCGTGGGGAGCATGGCAAGAGTATCTTCTTCAGCAGTGTCTCTGCTCTCTCTGTCTCCGTTTCTCTCTCTTTCTCTCGCTGGCGGTTGCTTCGTCTTCGTTTTGGCCAAGCTGCGAGCCGCCGTCGACTTCAAGTTTCAGTTACAATTCGGCAGCGACTCGGCCTGGTTGCAATTCCCTCAATTGCTCCGCGCGTGTCTCTTTGTGCTTGTGCGTGTATCCTGAAATATAGCCACAAGGATATACCAATAAAGTGGGTGCAGTGCCAGTCTGGAGATATACTTCCAGTCTTAACTCCAATCAGTGTGTTTTCCCTGTGCTTATCGAGACGATTTTAATTTTCAGCTGCTGCCTCATTCGGATTAGGAATTAGTTTTCATCCTGTCGCGATGAGAATTCTGCCATTGCTGGTAAGTCGGCTCCGGACCAAAAACAAAACAACTCAGAAACTTACCTCACAATTAAATGGGAATTTATGCAACAACAACCACTTGGAGAGGTGTCAACGCTTGCTTGACCCCTACGGGCGTGCGACCTGCCCTAAGCCCCCCCGAGGAGGCATTCCCCATCATTGACATTGACAAATAGTGTCATTGCATGGTGGCGAGCTGGGGGGAAGGGAGAGGCAGGCCGGAGTAAGCCAAGTGTAAATTGCCTTCCGGCTGCCTCAACACTCAGCAGTCAGCAATCAGCACTCTTGCCTCCAGACTTCAACTTGGCTCTTGTTACGCGAAGAAATGTTGCCCTATCTGGTGGATCTCTTAGCCGAATGGCTCGGCATGTGGTGGAAGGTGTGCGGTGTGTGCCCCGCCTGCGAATTGTCTCATTGTTTCCCTTGCACTTGTTAGCGCTGCCACTGGCTCTGATCGGAGATATTCCCTGGGTCACATTTGCCCAATTGTTATTGGAAATTACTCACACAATTAGATAAGATAGAGGGGATTCTATCCACTGAATTCTCTACCTATCGCTTGCCCAATCGTTTCTCTGCAACGTCGTGTTGCATGCAATCAGCAGTACGAGCTGCACGGGTAGAACCTAGTGTGGCAGCTGGCTGAACTCATTAAACATCTTCATCTGCATCATCAGCAAGACCAACATGAGAGCTCCAACTGTCCTCCTTTCCATCTTGATCTCTGCCTCCGTCTCTGCCTCTGTCTCTGCACGTTCGTCTGCCTTTCAAAATTGAGGCGCCGAACGACCATTAGATTTGGCTTCAATCTCCATCTCCATTGGTTGTGCAAAGCCAAAGGCAAAGGCAGAGGCATCCAAAGATGACTCTAGACTTTTGCAGCCGAAAAATCACCCATGATGATCATTTGCGGCTGCCATTGAGTCCATCACATGTGCAAGTGTGTACGTGTGTACGTGTGTGGGTAACCTTTACAAAAACGTCTTGTAAGGCGCTTCATTTATCGAACTATTGCAATTCGGACTGAAAAGAGCAGCGGTACTCGTACAATAAATGTCAAAAGCTGGCCCAGATAAACATTATTTCAGTTGTGTAGAAAACCGTTTCATGGCTAATTTTCAGTCGCATAGAAAGGAAAATGCTGACTGTCATTGCCCGATGTTTGCGCGGACAAAAGGCGGAAGAGGGGGAAGAACCGCCTGACTTTCTGTGCTGTCTGGCTGGGGGCTAATGCTATAGGTATGGGTATGGCTATGGCTATGGCTATGCTCACGACACCGCACACTTCAGCACCTGCTGCTGCCCCTGGGCCCCATCTCCACTCTCCAGTGCCCCCAAATAGGCCGAGGCTGAGCATATTTTAATATGCTGCACGCATGCAAACCGACCATTTGTTGCCTGCCGCTTGGAGTGTAGAAAGTTGATTGGCATTATTTTGGCTCTGTCTCCGATTCGATTATTACTATGTATCTAGATTGTCAGCAGAAAGTTTCGTTTCAACTGCGACGACAAGTGCAGCTAATCTGCAGCTTCGGCCCCAGATGCAGCCCTACCAGATCCGTCCCGAAATGGAGGAGGAATTCACCTTTCACTTCTCATCTTCACTTCCCACTGCAGCTCAATTATTTCCATTACGAGTATTGAAATCGAAAGATGCGCTTGCTGCTGGCCGGCCTGGACGGTCCAGCCGAAATTCAGCGGCAAAAATGGTTATAAATAAAAGGAAAAACTTTTGCAACTGAAGACGAGCGGCTAGCAGCCAGTTTTTAGCTGGACAAATGTGAATGTACCTGTACCGCGATGGAGTTAGAGCTACCTCCGCGAGGAGACACACGAAAATCATATATTTTGGAATGCTTTTTTCGACCGCAGACAATTTTCTGTTCGTAGCGTAATTACAATACTATCCACAACTCGGTGGTTGGTTGGATGGATGATGCGGAGATATTTATTTTAATTAAATGTTACTCAAGTAACCAGCATCTTGGACTGGAATCTGACCTGAGCTGCAGTTTCGGGCTGCACATGAATTTCACATGAATATTAATGATGATCCGAAATTGCTCGGATGTCGATTAGGTTGTCTACTAATTTGTGGGCCCCTGCTTGTTTGCGGCTTATAATTATACGGCTTCTTTCTTTTTTTGGCATTCGCCGCCGAAGACAGAGAGCGAGAGAGAGAGAGGGGGAGAGGGAGAGAGCATTGCATAATAGTGCGTCATGAATAGCCTAAAAATGCGGCCAGAGTTCATCGCGGTTCCGGATGGCTATCAGCGGCGACCAAGTTTGTTTAATTTATGCACACTTTTTCTTCGAGGGTTACTGATTGTTTATTCGATTTTTATTTATTTTATGCAACGACCTTGCTCAGCGCTTAACTAATTAAAAAAAGCAAAACACACACACCAAAATCTTAAGCTTTTTTTTAGAGCCTGCTGCCACTGAACGCCCTCAACCGAAGTCAGTTTTGGATGGGTTTGTTAATTAGTTTGGGTTTGATTGGTTTCGTCTGGCTGCTGCATTGGGATGGGATTCTCCTTTCCATTTCCATTTGCACATTCGCGCCCCAAAAGCGTGTCTCTCCAGTTCGTTGCCTAAGTCTTTTGTCTGCTAGCCTGCTGGCGGCGACAATATTGGCACTAGCCGATTGCTTGTAACCAATTGTGGACATAGATACTTACATGCCTACCAGTGGCTGCAGACACACGGATACACACATGGACAGACTCTGGACTTTGTTAGCTGTCGTTTGCATAACCCGGCTGTTGTCGCCGCCGCTCATACGCAACATTCGTTCAATTGCATTTCAATTTGCTTATTACTCGGCAATTTGCAATTGACACAGTGCTAAAATATGAAATGCCCAGTGACAGAGCGGGGATTGCATCGTGAGCCCGAGCCCGAGCCCGAGCCCCCAACAAAAGTTGGTCAAATTACAATTACGAATTGAGATCTCTGGGTGACAGTCTGCTACAATTGTTTGCGCCCCCATTGGAATGAGAAGGAAAGGCGCAATCAGCTCGAGAGCTACCACACGTTCACAGAGACCAGCCTCATTTGCGGCTGGGATTCCTTGGAGTGGTTGGACAACTTTTACATTCGCCCGGCGTGCAGTGCTGCATCATCTTCCATCATTTTCCAGTGCCCATTATGCAGATCAGCCTGGCTGGCGGGCCCCTCACGCACTGCTCTGCGCCCCCCCCCTCCAAGATGCTCCGAGCCCAAGCACGCACACGAAAACCTGCTACTTGTCGGCACGTTGCCGCCATTGAGGCTGCCAGGTGGACCTTCTTCAATATCATCTGCTGGCCCGCTTTCTCGCGGCCAATTCATGTCACGTTGAGGTAGATTCGACCCCAGCGGAGCAGCAGAGCAACAGAGCAACAGAGCAGCAGAAGCATACAAACACTTTCATTTTTCATTTAATTTAATAATTCATCATTCATCATCTCTCATCTCTCATCTCTGCCTCCCATCGTGTTGGCCTTATCTGAAGCGCCCAAAAGTGTTTATAGCCTGGTCCACATTTAACCCGCTGGCGTGTCGCTTACTTCCGTTTTCACTGGTGGGGCTGGTGGTGCTGGTGGCACTTCTGGAACACAATGACTGCATAAAAAACGATAAATGCTTTATTTTCGTACATGCCGTTTTTTTACACCATTTCGGCTCGCATGCCACGTTTGTCGCTTGAGTCTTTCGTTTGTTTTCTCAAGTCTCACATTTTCTACACCCCGATTCGAGCACTCACTTCCTTTCTTCATTCCTGCTGGTCGCGCTACAGTTATTCCATTTGGACAGCTGTCTCAGTGTCTCAGTGTCTCAGTCGCAGTGTCAGCCGCCTCTTATGCAACCAGGGCCTGGGATTTAATTATAAGGATTTACCAGATTGTCGGCATTTTGGCGAGAAAACGAACGAGAAAGTGACGCATTATTTACATCCGCTTCGGTTTCGCCTCTCCGCCACTAGCAGGGGGATACTATGGACACTGGGCACTATCGGAAATGATGTCAGTTAGGGCTGGACGAGCTCGTATGTTCTCAGACCCGTCCCAGCAATGGCATACGCTTCCCCATAATTTGAATGGACATTAGGTTTTTGCAACTTTTTGCATCATTTGACGATGACTGACGCTCCTGGCTCACTCGCGTAATTGGCCCGCAGACAAGCCACAGTTCGCCGGCCCGGAGTTCTTGGTTTCAGACACCAAGAGACTCTGTTAACTGCCTTCGTTCGCGGGGGGTTATGGTGGTTCACACAGAGATGACTCTCAAGTTGTTGGCCAGAATAATTGTGCCGTGTCACATGCTGGTGTGTTGGTGTTGCCAATCCACTCGCATTCACATGGCTGACGGACTAACAATGGCAGATCAACTGGCACATATCATAACTGCTCATCATCGGGAGCATGAGATGAGATTGCCAGGGGCTAATGGCAGTAACTGTGTGTCTAGACAACAAAGCACCCGAAAATAAACACAATTTACATGAGAACTTGTTCAGCTATTTGTCAGTTGCAACTTGACTGTGGCTGTGGCTGCGGCTGCGGCTGCGGCAGCCCCAACTGGAGGCAGCAGTGGGAGCTCTGTAAGATTTCACTTGGCAAATCGGCGAACGCCAACACGAGCAGCAAAAGCTGAAAAAAACCACCGTAAAACGTGCCGCTCGTCAGCACAGACACCAAGCAATCCAAGCCATCCAAGCAGCCCGCGTGGCTGCCACTTGGCGGCTCATGCCACATGCCACAAGTTGTTAGTCCTGCGGTCAACTTCAGGTTGTCCATGCCACTGGCTTGTTTGGCCATTTCCATTACACAACATCTTCACTTTGGGTCTGGCTTTGATTTACACTTGCCCACTAAATGCTTGCCAAAGATTCGGCGGCTTCTTCTTCGTTTGGCGCATTGCATAATTCTTCTGGCCAAATGGAGGAAAACTCCGGAGAGTTCCCCGGCTGACATCAGATTTATTGGCCTGTAAACATTTTCGTTATGTTAATGTGTGAGTTTGGGTTCAGCTCTCGAACAATTTTGGGCCCTGACTCTGGCTCGAGATGAATTTTGATGGCTTTTTGCCTTACTTACTGACTGGTGGCTGGTGTGTAAACTTTCTCCCATTGTTAGCATCTTTCTTTTCATGAACTGCTTTCGGCTGTTCGCGCCAGCTGCTGTCGATGCCCATGTTGATTTGATTATTTCTCTACTGTTTCATATTTCCCCCCGTGCATCATTGTTTTGCCAAATCTTTGACATTTGCTTATTGTGTATGTGTATTGTATGTGGTCAGCAGAGTGTGTGACTGGCTGGCTTTCTTTGTACGACGTCTAGTCTAGAGTCGAGTGGAGTGGAGTGGAGTGGAGGGGATGGGACTACCGAACGGCTTGAGGTGTAGGTCAGTTAGAGGGACAAGTATGGTAATATCTTTTGCTTTGGCTGTGACTTTGTCTGCACAGCAGGCAGTTTGTATAGGAAGTCACAGTTGGATAATCGGACTGTTTGTGTGGGTTTGACAATGTCCGCGATTAGCATATGTCGCGCACAAAGGTTATGTTATGGCATAACCCCCCGAAAATACGCATGGTCTATCCGGAAAGTGAGTGTAGGACTGGACCTAATTATTGCAATTATATGCTGTCAAAGTGCGTGCTGAGACAACATCCAAAGATACCTATGAAATAGAAAAAACAAAAGCCAGTCGGAGCAACAAAAGGTTGCCTCAGGAGCTGTCAAAACTCGGTCTCACAGCTTCCGTTTTGACATGGCTCCAATCCACGGACCTAAGGTACTCAGATAAAGGCCAAAACAATGTGACAAAGATGCCATAATCAGCAGCAACTACCGTGAGATTGCGTATACGCCACCGCCAATCGACAACTGGGTTAGACCCCAGCATGTGGAAGTGCCCGTAGAGGTGGGGATTTGGATGTGGATGTGGATGTGAATGTGGGTAACTCTCATTGTCGGTTGAGTGTGTATTATTTTCACTTCACTTTCGGCTCAGCCATCAAAATGTGTTATATACTTGTACCCCATTATATAGATACAGATACAAATCAAATGTCAAGCGCCCACACAGTGCGGCCGACATCTGCAGGCCAAATGCAGTTTGGAAAGTTGAGAAAACTGAGCCTCGGCCAAGTGAAACAGAATGGGGCAAGCCCCATTTTCCTTCTGTCTCTCTGGCATTTTTGCGAGGGCGTATCTTCACTACTGGCTGCTCTCTGGGGCTGCAGGCTGCAGGCTGGTCTGGTCTGGTCAATTGAAATTCGTCGCCGCACTTCAGGGCAACTTTCACGGCTAAGCCAGAAAGGCCGGGCAGCCCGTGACTGGTGATGACTCAATGCCCTGACACGGCTGACACGGCTAGGCTGATTCGCTGATTCGCTGATTCACTGATTAACCATATCGCGATCGGGCAAAAATTAACCGCCAAAAGAGGCTGGAACACTTGAGGTGAGGTCTAGCCTTGCCTTTAACCCATCGAGCCGTCGGCGTGTCGTTTCTGTGGTCAACAACTCAATCTCAGCCACATCTCCATCCCAGCAAAAGCCGCAGCCTCCACTTGACATTGACCCAATGCAAAGATGGAAAGACGACAGCACACATTCATCCATTCATCCATCCAGTCCCACTTTGTTGGGCTAATTTCTGATGCTCGCTTTTATTGCGTTTTTAATTCGCCTCTTTTGGCCAATTCACAAATTGGCTCTGCCATCTTCAGTACGTTTTGCGGCTGGTAAAAGTGTTTGCTTATCTCTGCTTTTGGTCGGGGTCTCGACCTTGTCTCAAGCTAAATCCATTAAAATATTTTCAAGTTTGCAGGAATATCTTTTTGGAAATCGAAAGTCTGTTGGAATTTTTGTGATTTTCCACGAGGAGGCCATTTGTTATTGTTTTTTTTTCACTTAACACATATATTTCAGATATTTTAGTTTGAGTTGGTCCGTATCTTTGGTAATTTGTTAGGTTTTAATTTGATGGAGCTCTTGCGAATTCCAAAAATATCATCGCTGCTTGTATAAATATTTCGTAACAGTCTCCTTCCGAATTAGTTTCGCTTTTCGGGCTGTGGCATCTGCCTAATCGAGATATGTATCTAGCGGATAAATTTGAGCTTCACGGAATTTTAATTAAATATTTTGGCATTTGAGCGAGCTGGAGTAATAGGTTGAAACTTTCTTTTCAATTTGCAGTTGGCACTGACGCTGCTGGCCATTGGTGCCGCCGCAGCAGCTTCCACGACCACGGCCAAGACCACTACCATTGCTTCCACCACGACAGCAAAGCCAAAGAGCGGGTCCAAGCCGAAGGCTGAGGCTGAGAAGCCAACTAAGCAGCCATCGCCATCTGCAAGGCCATCGTCCACAGCTGCCACCACGCGGCAATCGAAGGCGCTGAAGGCACCTGTGAATCCTGGCGAGAACCGCGGCAAGAGGACGCTCTTCGACTTTGGCAATGCCGGCTATCTGTATCCGGAGGTAGCCAGCAGGAGGTCCGGCTATGTGGACAACACAGCCAGCTATTACCCCCAGACTGGCTACTACAGCGGACAGAACGCCATTGGTAGGTGGAATATCATGGCAAAAAGCAGAAGACTCACTTTGAATATCCCTCAATTACAGCTCAATATCCCGGACACTTTGGTCCGGCATATGCGCCATACCCGCAGTACCTGGAGGCGCCTGAGCCCATAATCGAGATCATTATCAAGGATGCCAATGAGACACTCGCCGAGGAGCCTGCCCAGCCGATAGTGACCAGGAAGAAGAAGAAGAAGGAGAAAGTCCACGTGTTCTATGTGAATTACAAGAAGGACCAGAACAACAAGCTGCACCTGGAGTCGCCGATAGCCTCATTGAACAACGACGACAACGAGGAGGAAGAGGAGGAGGAGGAGGAGGTGATCCAGTATCCGGTGACCCCTCTGCCACCGCTGAAACCCACCACCCTGCGCACCATCATCCACCCCGACTCTGAGAAGTTCCACAGCAACTCCGGAATCCACGTCTCCTTCGGGGCAGAGAACAAACACCAGACTGGGCACATTCTGGAGGAGCACGATGCCGAGAGCATTCAGCGCCAGGTGGTGGCTCTGCCGCTCCCAGTGAGCGCCACTAACCTCAAGGCAGATGGCGGCTATTCCGGAAACACCCGCGCCGACTACGGCAGGGAGAGCAGTTTTGGCAGGAGCCCCGGACCCATCGGCAATCTGCTCTTTGGAAGTGGAGGCAACTCGAACAACTTCCACCAGCAGTCGAACCTGCACTTCCAGAGCCAGCAGCAGCTTCCGTCGCAGCACGGCAGCAACTATTTCAGACCACCCTCCGCTCTGGTGGGCCCTCCTCCCTCCTATCAGAAGCCAGCGCCACAGCAACAACTGCAACAGTCGCAGTCGCAACTGCAACATCCGCAGCAACAGCTCCAGCAGCCACAGCAGTCGCGCCCAAGCATCACGCAGCAGCAGTTGCCTTCCACCTCATCCCAGACGATCTTCAACAAGCTGGTCCAGCAGTCGCAATACTACATCAATCACAATCAGCAGTATCCGTCGCATCACCAAAGTCAAAGTCAGCAACACCAGCAGCAGCAGTACCAGAAGCCACCCAACAAGCAGGTCCAGGTGCCATTCTTCCCCACGATTCCGCCCAAGACGCAGGACCTATCCTCGCGCCCGAGTCCAGCGCCATATCATCCCATCAAGTTCCGTCCCACGCCAGCTCCCACGACGCACGTGAAGCCCTTGCCGCTGCCCGTAAAACTGGACAACGCAAACTACCAGCAGCAGCAGCAGCAGCAACATTATCAGCCACAGCAGCAACAGAAGGTGCCACAGCCTTACCAGTTTGTTCGGCAGCCCCAGTTTGTGCAGCAGCCACAGTTTGTGGTGCGTTCCCCCACGCCTGTGCCGGAATATTACCCGCAGCAGCACCAACAATCGCAGCAGCAGCGCCAGCAGCAACAGCAACAGCAACAGCAACAGCAACAGAAGACCATTCAGAGCACCCTCAACTACTTTGATATAAAGCCATCCAAGGAGACAGAGCTGTTGAAGTCCATACCCAAGTATGAGCAGCACATCATTGAGACCGTGCAGAATCCCATTAATCCCTCACAGCAGCAACATCATCATCATCCTCAGCAGCAGCAGCAGCAGCAGCAGAAGCAGCAGCAGCAGCAGCAGCAGCAGCAATTCAGTTACAGCAGCACTCGTAATGAGGTGATCCACGATGTGCCCGCTCCCAATCTCGCACCCTCTGCCCAACAGCCTGTCTCCGGCCATTACATAACCGCAAGCTCAGGGAGTATCCAAGAGCAGCAGCAACAGCAGCAGCTGCAGCAATCTCACTTCGCCAGCTTTCCCAGCGAGGCTTCGCCCCAGCCTCCCGTCTATGCGGAGTCCACGCATGGCCAGAAGGTAATGGTAGTCACACCCGTGCCCCCATCGGCCAACTATGTGACCTACAACCACTACAACCAATTGGCAAACGAGCCCGTAGTCCATGTAAACTCTCAGACCGCCGCATTGCAGGCCCAGGCCAGCACAAACTTTGCCCAGCAGCCCAGGCAGCCGGCTGCCTCCCAGATCACCGCTCCCTCGACGGACCACTCGCCCTTCAGCGTGTCCACCTTCCACTCAGATGTATTCAAGGAGCTCGAGCAGCGAAACCAGCAGGAGCAGCAGTCACAGCCACAACAATTGCAACAGCAACAGCAGCAGCAGCAGCAGCAACAGCAGCAGCAACAGCAACATCAACAGCAACAGCAACAACAGCCAAGTGCTGCTCCAGCTTCAGTTCCAGTTCCCGCGCCAGCTGCCTCATCTGCTTCCTCTCCCAATGGAAAGGCCTCGCAGACGCTGCTACAATTGCCCGACGAAGTGCCCGAGGATCTGCGCCAGCAACTCTTCTCCTCTGGCATCCTTAACAACGACGACATCTCCATCCTCGACTACGACAAGCAAGGGGACATTGCCCTGGAGAACCTTCCCGCCGAGCATCTGCAGCACTTCTATGGAGCCGGCGGTGGCGCCCAGATTGCCGAGACCAACAAGGTGCTCACCGTGGTCAAGCCGAATGGGGACAAGGTGGCGCTCAGCGAGAAGCAGATCGATCGCGTCAAGCAGAGCAACTCGCTGCCCCAGAAGCAGAATCTGGACGTAAAGGTGGTACGCTATGATGCGGGACAGGGCCAGAGCGTCAGCGAGAAGTACGTGCGCACCGATGCCACCGTGGTGACCCCCGTGGACCTGACCGAGCGACAGCAGTACAACCGCTACCTGCCACTGAAGATTAACGGAGCCCAGTTCCCCATTCCAGACAGCGAGGAGCTGCAGGGCAAGAAGATTGTGAGCGTGGTGGTCCTGGCGCCCGTCGAGGCCCAGCCGGGGACGACGAGCAGTGAGGGGCGCAGTGTGGACAACAAGGAGGTCAAGTTCTTGGGCGGCGATCTCATCAAAACCCTCGTCAAGAAGCCCACCAAGGACAACTTCAAGCGTTGGCTGGAGAAAGAGGCGCGTACGGACCTCGAGCTGCAGTCCGTGGTCCTGCTGGTGACCAGGTAAATGTCCATTCCATCCACTGGATGGAGCAGAGCTAACCCGTTTTCCGTTTTCCTTGCAGATCCAGCGACTCGTCCGCGGATCAGGAGATCTTCATGTACGACATCGGCACGGGCAGTATCAACCGGTTGAACGGGGAGCTCTCCAGCACCTTCGTCAACGTGGCCGAGGAGAACGCCAGCAGCGAGGATCTGGAGCATGCCGCCACCCTGGACCCCAGCTCGCTGGAGTCCATGATGCATCTGCGTCGCAGATAGATTGAGTCGCCACCGCAGTCCACAACGAAATGCCATTTAGCTACTCTTCTACATCATCGTGCGCCAATTCCAAAATTTCATATCGCTTTATTTTTTTTATCCCCCCTTCCTTAGTTTTGCATTCCCCTTTTCTCTTCTCTTTGATCTATCCTCAGGTTGCACATCTTCCACCAAAAGAGAATCATGCTTCATTGATCACGGCATTGCATCCCCAATTCCTCTCGTAGTATTTCCATTTTGTAAATATTCTATGCTGATGTTACAATTATCTTAATTTAAGTTAATTTACGTAAAACAATCAAAATAAATAAGAAAAACGTAGTCGTGTCAGATGCAGTATTTGGCGATTTCTGTTGCAAATTTCTGTACTAGAGCCCTGCATGAAGGAGCAACAGAATCGATTCGATGGTATTAGGTATTCTCTTCGTTCGGTCGGTTAGAAGCCGGAAAATGGACCGAATGAAGCAGGTCTGTAAATTTTCATTGTGTCCGATCCGAGTCGATTCGGTTTTTGTCTCGCTCACTCTCCAATGCATTTTGTGGTAGAGAGAACGAGAGAGCAACGCACGCACGCTGTGAGTGTGATTTTATACTCAAATCACGCTAATAAGCGTAATGTTAGATACAAAATGTAAGAGGTACAATATTCATTTGAAAAGCGCGGTATTATCGATAACGACATCAGTTCAAAGTGGTTTGTTACGTGACGTGATACGTTACGAGTTTGACATCAACGGGTAGTGTTGCAAAGTGTGTTGAATTATTAACTTAGTCGTGTTGCAAACCACAAATATCAAAGTGGTTGAATTTTCTTTTAATAAATGGTTTTAATTTAGTATAAATGCGTTTTATTCCGGAGGAGACCCGCAACAACAACGAACAACTTGGACATTACTAGACATTTATTGTTAGTATTTGAACGTCGCGCCTACAGAGATGAGGTTGATAACACTAAATGTGTTGCGGAAAACGTAAATTCATACATGTTGCGCAAGACATGCTGCGAAGATGTTGCTGAACAATGCTATCTTATATTAATCAATTTTAAATTAAAATTATTTAAAAATGTCTTATTGAACATGTATCCATGAGTTTATGCACTGGCGAAAAGAACCGACATTGCACTGGAATCGTTCGAACAGGATTAATAAATACTTCTATATCGGCTGTCTGCCACTCCCAGGTTTTCGGTGTTTTATACCAGCTTCAAGAGCATTTGGGCCAAGGTTAGCCACTGGTGGGCACCTCTGAGTGGGCCCAACAAGACGCCAAACGTGTCTATGTGAGGGACTTGATAGCAGGACAAGATTTCATCCAAGCCCCACAAATCACACGCATACGTGACCGTGCTATCGCAGAGCGGGCGAGCTGGACGACGTGACCAGAAGCTGTCGAAGAGCAGGCATACAGAAAGAGTCGCTCTGCGAGCAAGTCACTCTCTTAAAGACAGAGAGTCTCTCACAGCCAGTTCGGCTTTATGGGCATGGCTCTAAGTGCAACAAGTCGCAGTCGGCGTCAGCGGTTGCAGCGCCTATAATTACATGTGGTTTATTTTTAGCTCCACAATCTACACGAGGCTGCAACAACGGGGCAACTGCAGCCACTTGTGTAGACTGGCAAGCGGCCAAATGCAGCGCAACGACACAAAAACAGCAATGCATAAAATGGAAAAATGAAGCCAGGTTTTTCATGTTGGCCATACCGGCTGCAGTCGCTATGCTGCTGCCGCTTCTGCTGTTGTTGCCATGAGGTGAGCCGTAACAGAGATATTGCTGCTGCCCCGATCTGGCCCGATCCGGTCTCTGCTGGCCAAACGGTTTGTTTGCTTTCCCGTGTTTACCTTATGCAATGCTCAAGAGTTTTCAATATTTTGTTGCCAGACAAACAAAAACTTGAAGACTCTGCAACTGCAAATTGACAAAGTTGTAAAATCTACTATTTCACTCTTCATGTATGTACTTTTTATGTACTTAAATAAATATATACATATAGTAAGTCTAAGTAAATGCGGAGTTGTTGTGGTATCTTCAATTTTTAGGAACACGTCTTGAAGTGAAGTCAATGAAGACTGAGTTACATTCCAGACCGATCCGACAATGCCCACCCGTACCGCCCATAGACGGTGCAGTTTTTACTAGTTGTTTTATTCCCGTGTACCTCGTCAGGACAAAGCAAAGGATCCGATGGATGGATGGATGGGTTGGGAAATTTATGGGGATCAACTGCGCTTTAACCTACTTTCTGATTCCGTTAGCCTTGGGAGCGAATCCCTGTCACCTCGCTGGGCTTAAGCTTAAGGTAAACTCCAATTTGCTCTGCCGCACACACACACACACACACAACGGGTATACATATTGCAGGCATCGCTCTTGTATGCAGATGTGTTTCGTGCTCTCATCCCGTCTGACATATGTTGTTTGAACCGTTTTCGATTTTTTTTTGCCGAACGAATGAACGAACGTCTTTTGCCGTAATTTTTGTATTCTGTCTTCCCACATCCCCATGCAGGCGACATGGCTGCGTTCTTTTTCCTTACTTTGCTGCCGCTCGTCACCCCGTCGTCGACTCTCGACTCTCGACTTGACTCGTTTCAAAATTGGGTTACAGACCCCAGACAAGACCCCAAAAACAGAAGAGAGCGCACGCAGGAAAAAATACCGAAACAAAACAGAATGCAAAAATCCGTTTGACGCCCGTAAGCTCCATGAGTCATAGTTGTTGTTGCACTGATTGCTGATGCTTTAAGTTGCTGGGTGGGGGCGGGTGGCTGGTTGCTGGTGGCGGGGGAGAACACTATTTTCGTGCTCAAGATTTCGATTTCTCTTTTGCTTAGCAGCTTCCTTGGCTTGGCTCGTGCCTGCCCTGTCTGTCTGATTGTCGCTGTCTCTGTCTCTGCCTACCTCCGTCTGCTTCATTGGATTATTTGCGGCGTTACAGTTGTTACGAACTTTTTTTGTTGTTAGGAAGAAGTAATTTAAGAGCACGCCCATGCCAAGTCAAAGAGCTTTAAGTTTCGTTTTCGTGAGAGCAGTGACCAGATCAGATCGATCGTGTTGCTCCCTCGTTGGCGTCAAGGTGTGTTTGTATAAGGTGAGGCATTCTGAACGGCGCTCTACTAACAGTGACCGATTCGAATTAATTTGCGCTCAAGTCTTCGATACACTGCACTGCATTCTTATCTTTCAATTGTAATTTAATATTCCCTATTATATTTGTCTGTACATACATGCAGCCTGTTCTTAACAGACTGTATTCATTCGAAGAGAGAGAAAGGCAAACAAAATGTTCACCTTCTTTTCATGCACCTTGCGTTGATCGTCGTCGTTTCGGCGAGGTAGTCGCGTCTGCGCCAAGCTGCGCTGCGCTCACAACGGTTCCATCATTCGACGCAGCAAGTTCAAGTGCACCCAGCAGCGTATCAGTTTTCGGCCCCCAGTCGTGTCGTTGTCGAGGGTGGCGCAGAGAGCCTGGCTCAGATTCAAAAAGTGCGCGCGAGTGAACGAACCACACCCCCAGTCCACTAAAATAGCCAGTGAATACTCGTGAATGTTTTTCCAGTAGCTATTATGCAACTAAACCCCCAGTGATTAAATCGCAACTGTGTTTCTGTGGCCCCGAGTGAAATCCAATACTAGAGCCCAAACCAAACGACGATCAACGGCACTTTAAAGCCGTTTTTATACGAAACCTAACCGTAATAGCCGCGTCCCATCCCACACTATCGCTGCGAAAAACATGGCGTCTGCTGCTGCTGCGTCGTCCGTCTGCGCCAGCTGTGGCGCCGGCGCAGGCAGCCATCGGATTCTGCACATTTACAGCGCGTGGGCGTTGATCACGCTGCTGGCCGCCAGCGCTGCCATCGTCCAGAGCGCCGCGGTCTCCTTTGGTTAGTTGGAAGCGTGTCTGGGGAAACGGCTTTAATTTTAATCGGGTCTCTATCTACCTCTATGTGCACATATCTCTTCATCGCTTCATCTCTCTTTTTCCCCACCTTCTTCATTGTGTGCAAATTTGCGAAGAAATTACTGGCAAAAGGAAGCAAAGCAGCACGAACACAACATTTCTGCAGCTCAAATTGGCCATTGAGGCCCCTTAATTGGGGCTCCTCTCTGAAGAGCCCTTATTTTTTGAGGTGTCGAATCGGGGAAGTCCCCGCACATAGGCGCCATTGGGAGACTTTCATTTCAGCGATGAGTTTTCCCGTCCACCGTAGACCGTCTCCCTTCTAATGCGTTGCGAACCACTGTCATTTGTTGTTTGGTTTTTAATTTTGTCGCCCATTATTTTTTGCCGTTTCTGTCTCGCAAACCGGTTGCCGCCTGGGCCTGGGCCTGGTCCCACTCGATCTCGATCTTAACCGCTATTGACCGAGCCGTGCACATGGTTTTGTGTATTGTTTTGGCTCAATCTGTTGTTGGTTTGGCTTGGCATTTGGCAGAGCGCCTCCAGCCCCAGCCGTCCGTCTGATAAGCCTGCAATCTTCCAGTGTTCGATTGGGCCGTGAAGCATGGCTGCCCCTAGGCCGCGATGAGACAGAGAGAGAAATAGGGAACAAAACACGCGGAAGCATTGCGGCATGAAATCAAGAAAAAACAACGAATACAAATAAGAGTAATACGGATAAAAGAAAATAAATTTAGTTTGTGAAACTTGAAACAGAAAAACTGAAAAACAGAAAAACAGAAAACGCAACTCGAACCGCGAGACAAGCTCGAGCGCGACCTCATTGTCATTGAAATACAGTTATGGGATGGAAGAACAAAGACACAGAATGGCGAGCTACACAGCACTACAAAGCTCGGATCTACAGATCCACAGATCTACAGATCTGCACTGTTGCAACGTTAACCCTGGGACAGTTGAACTCTCCTCTCTGCCTCCCAGAGAGCAGAGACCCTAAAACGGAAACTGGCGAGAAAGTGGGCAGCATTCGAATCGGTTTCTTGATCTGCTAGATGGTGTTTACGCTTGAGATACACTAGATTTTTTGGCAAGCACAATAAACCCCCACCCAGCGACAAGAATCTTTATTTAAACCTCTATAAACATTCATTTATACAGATGTATGTACATATGTTTTTACATATGACTCGTTTATATACTCACGTATGCAAACTGGTTTCCAGCTTCGTGTAGTTATATGTAGATGTTTTTGTTGTTGTTGTTTTGAATATCAAATAGAATTAACATATGTTGCCAGCAGCCAGCCATGTGTAGAGGTTCTGTTTCCCCCAAGTCAAGTTTTTCATTTTATTTCAGTTGTTTCGTGCTGTGGTGGCCGAAAGCTCTTTGCTATGCAACTGGATGTCATCTGGGTTCAATTTTGTGGGTTTACCAATCTACAATCTCCAATATCATGGCCCCCCCTCCGCCCCCTGGCTTTTCCCATTCAAATTGGAATTCAAAGTTGTTCAGGCAAAAAGAGAGACATACCCAAAGATAAAGATAAAGATAAAGATGGGTAGCCGCATTGGCAAACGGCAAATCGGTTAATTAAAATGCAAATTGTACAGAAAAGGTGCCACTTTGAGCCATTTTACTTGGTTTTTCTCTACTCTATACATTCCAATAATTCCCTTGCTTCTTGGTAATCCAAGTGGCAAAATGGCTGCTTTGATTTACGTTTGCGGCCATTAGAAGGCATGTTCGACCGGCTTCTCCACTGACTGCTTGGCCAGCTAAGCAGCACCGGTTGCCGTTAGCTCGACAGTTGTGCTGCATGCAACAGCTCAGCAACAGCAACAGCAACAGCAACATCAGCAGTGGCAGTGGCAGTAGCAACAACAAATGCCAAGTTCTGTGCCTCTAAAGTTTCCTCGATTCTTGTTTGTTGTACAATTTATTTATTTGGTCGTTCTTTTGCTGAGCAAACAGACAAATGACAACGACAACGACAACAAAGACAGCAACAACAGCAACACTAACAAGAGCAACAACATGATGACACATTCGCTTGACCTATTAGGAAAATTGGCCAACGGGAAATGTGGCGCACTGTCCGAAGCCAAGACCCGGGTCCAGAAGGTGGGAGGGGCTGTGGTCCGGCGGCAGCGGAGAAAGGTGCGAGGGCAGAGATGAGGCAGCAAAAGAGACAGAGGGACAAGCACTTAACCCTTGCCATTCTGACTTTGATAGTTGACCCAATTTTTTCAGCTTTACAAAATACAAAAAAAAATATATGCCAGACGGAATAAATTTGACCAGAAGAGTCGAACGTCGTATGCCCTATAAAGGCGAATTAGGTGTTCTAAGTATGGGACTGAAACTGAAAGAAATTCTGGCCAACAGAAGTACAGGATACAGGAAGACGGGATAAGATCGAACAGATCGAAGGAGACGAAATATATGGAATGTTAACTATGGACAATCGTTAACTGTCCGGAACTATCCGGAACCTTTGCAATCGGAAACCAATTCCAGCTGTTTGAGTGCTTTCCCTCCTCGATTCTGATGAGTATTGTAGGTCTGAGGGAAAGTTTTTGGTAACCCGGCCTGCCCGCCGCCGAGGAAGAAGAGTATTACGAACTGCACTTGTGGAATGAATGTTTTTGTTTGTTTCTGTTTGTGCGTCGAGTGGCATTCCAATTCCCACTGTGAATGTGTGCGCCGGTGTGTGTCCGTGTGGGCCAGAGTTGTGTAATTTTTAACAACAACTTTTTTCGAGTGTCTCTCCATCGTCCGCCCACTGCACTGCACTGCACTGCACTGCAGAGCCCTCTTCCCGTCCCGTTTTTTTGCCTTCTGAAGCCAGCCAGGCGTAATTATGATGAGTGAGCGGAGGATCCAGCATCCAGCATCCATCCAGCATGCAACACGCGTCCGCATCGCGTGGCAGCCACAGAATTTATTATGCCCAGTTGCCACTCGACAAAAAAACACAGCCTCAAACGCTTGACAATCTCTGCACGAGCAAGTCTCAATTTGCTCTCGGCCAAGTTCCCTTTTTTGTGTCTAAATCTGGATCTGAATCTGAATCCGAATCCGAATCTAAACAACAACTGGAAACTGGCCCACTCCAGAGCCACGTACATATGCGAGTACATCAACTTACTACGCATTTGAATGCGCCCTTTTCAAATGGAAGTGGCTGCTGCTTGACCTACACACAAATAATCTCCATCACATTGGTACCCATAACCACTGGCATGTACTCGTACAGCTGCCAAAGATACACAACTGCCAGCAGATACAATGTATCTTTTTGAGCGTACAACCATTTTCTGTAAATTGTTTTCCATACGAGTACGAGTACGAGTACGAGTATCTGTATCTCCATCGTCTCTTACCTGACCTTGCCCAAAACGTAGTGCCGAGCTTTCTGCCTTTTTGGCTTGGCCAAGTTCAAAGATACTTCTCAGCCGGTGCTCTGACTCTGACTTTCCCTAGAAAAGCATTCATAGTATTCATTCATTCATTCATTCGGCTTTCTGCTTTCCCTAAAAACTATTCGGTTCTGCTCTGAAAGCGTGGACAAATTATTAACGGCATATTTTGTGGAAAATCTGAGTGAAACCTATAGTTTATGTCCCTTTGCTAGCCCGAATTGTAAACGGATATCTGTATAAAGAGTGCTCCCCGAATGCCCAATCCATTCACCAGTTCCATTGCACATTAACCCTAATGCCTCGCTTCTGCCCATCTGTGGCCGGCAGCAACCCAAGCACGGAACCAGCAACATTAATTTAACTTGTAAACTCATCCACATACTCGTATACTACCGTACACTCTCGTACACTCCCGTACACTCCCGTCTAGTGTGTAGATATATGGGTTGTGCGAGTGCGTGTGCTTTTAACCCAATTAGCAGGGGCGCTCAGTGGCATTAGATTGAATTTTACAGCTCTTCTCTGTTAGTCGTCAAACAAACCTTAATCATTACTTAACTGTATGCTATGCCAGACATTGTTCGTTCTGCGCTCTTAATGGCATCTGGGCTCTACAACAATTGCGGCTAATTGTGCGGCCATAGCTGAGTGCCACAATGCGTTTGCCTTTGCCTTTGCCTTTGCCTTTGAATGATGGATGGAATGATGAGAATAGCTAACTGAAAGGTGATCGATGTAGGAAAGATGCAGCTCTGAAGCAAACACATTGTGCTTGGCAGAGTACTACCAAAAAGATACACCCATTCAATGGTTCAATGGTTTGCTTTTTATACCTATGAGTGCCTACATTCCTGATCAGCATCTGTTGATATCTGCGGGATGACTACCCCCAAGCACTTGTCAATCTTTAGCGCAACAATTACCCTGTAAAACTGTGCAAATACTATAATTAACGACACGCTGATGACAGTTTGGAGTGCTTTTTCGGGTTTCTCGCTCAAAGGCTGATTGAAAGTCCCGCACGTGCGGGGCAGGGCCACCACTTGACTATTAATGTCAAGTTCGGAATGGGAATTAGCTGGGAAATTGCACACTCTGACCCCGGCGGGCGGTGGGCCGGTGGGCCGGTGGGCCGGTGGATGCAGCAATTTCCATGGGCGGACGCAGATACTTGCACTCGTACTCGAGCTCCCTGCCAATGGTTTTAAATGGTTCGCAATACTCGAATGCCGGGCGGCAGTGTGTGGCGCAATTGCCCGGCAACGAGGCGAGTCAACAGTAAACAATAAGGCTGTTGCAGCAACAGCAAAAGCAGTAATAATATAATAATAACGAATGTGGTGCAGTCAGTGACCCAGAATATGTACACATACATATGTGTACATATAGAGATGTCTGTATTCAGAGTAGTTTTCCTACACGAATCGAGAGATATTTCGCGTTTATCACAAGCCCCAACCATATCCACTATCCACTGTATTTCTGTATTTCTGTATTTGTGTATTATTAATTGTGGTATTTAGTATGCGTAGAGTGTGTGTGTATCTGTGTGAATCTTTAACCTTTGTGTCGCAAAGTTCGAATACGAGTGCAAAATAATTGAACAGAGGAGGCGAACACTATGCTCCGTGCCTGCCCTGGGCCTCCAGTAGGCAAGGCAGTTATTCAATTAGTGCACGAGTGGAATCCATTCAAATTAATTGAATTTTAGTTTCGTCAAACAGAAACATGTTCGTACGTGAACGTGAATGAGAGCATGATAAACACATCTTTCACCACAATTCATTTTCATTTTCATTTCCATTTTCAATTCACACAAAATTTCTATTTTCGGAGTTGTCACATGGAGTGGAGTTTTTATTTGATTTATTTTGGTTTTTATTTAGGTTTTATTTTGGCCAACCTGCGAGTTATTTATTGATTGGCAGCTCGCGGATGATGTCTGCATTCGAAGCGGTTTTTTCTCGCTTTCGTTATGCTGTTGCATGCAAATGAAAACAGTTTGTGGGCCCGACAGTCCCCCTCCATTCCATTCCATTCCATTCCGACCCTGCATATGTATGCACCATCCATCCATCCATACATACATACATATATCGTGATATATGCTCTAGGAATTAACAGGCTGTTGTAAATTCACGCTCAAGGCGTCTCTTCTATTTACCAAACAAAAGAGACTCATCCCACGCCTCTCTCCCTCTCCTTCTCCGTTTCAGGGGATCTGCTATCGCATCCGACATTCAAGCCGCTGTGCAGCGCCCAGCAGGAGCACTTCATCGAGAGCGATGGCAAGGAGTCCAGCCTCATCATCGAACTGAAGCCGGGCTCCTATGGCGCCGAGCACCCCTCCTGCTCCCGCATACTGAGTGCCCCGCCCAACTACGGCTTCATAGTACGCCTCATTCTGCCCAAGCTGCGGCACACTCAGCCGGACGGCGCCGCTCCATCGTCGAGCATCATGCCCGCGGCCAGCAGCACAGCCAAGCCACGGCGGACCCCCAAGACAGGTGGCCTGACGGAAATGTCCGCGTCCACGCTGACGGACCGCCTCAACACAACGAAGGCCATGACGACACCCCGGGTGGGACGTACCTGTCCCCTGAACATCGTAAGTAAACGCACCCGAGTCCCAACCCCAGCCATCGCCCATCACCCATCACCATTCAGAGGTGATTAGTGCGCGATTGCCATTTTCTGCACCTTCCGCTTTGACTATTCGATGTTCTCTCGCTGATCTCGTTGCCCTGGCTCTTCCACTTGGGTGCGCATGCGCCGCCAGGGCCATCAGTGGTTAAGTGTGAGAATCATCCAAATCACTCCTCTCTCTTTCGCGGCGACATTGAACTCTAGAATACGTTTTGAAGGGCTCTCTTAATGGACAGTCTTGGACCAATTCAAATTTATTCCACGAAACCTTCAAATGTGCTCAATAATGATTACCCATTCTCGAAACCTTTAACGTACAGCGAGAATCTCTTTCCACTCGGCATGTGCATCGACAGCGAATGACATAATAAATCTGAATTTCAAATGATTTAATCGGAATGATGTTTTGACTTATTCCATGAAACATACTCGTAAAAGTGGATTTCCAAGCGATTACCAATCTGAATCGCCATTGTCAAACAGATTAAGTTGTTGATATCATTAAATATTGAATACATATGGAACAACTACTGTACTGGGAAACCTCCCATTGATTTTGTTACTTTTTTGTGGCTTTCCGATGAGACAGTTTGACATCCATCTGAAATTGTCTCCAATTACTGGCAGCCTCTCACGCGAGGCAAGCTACGAGTAAAACCACTTGCTGGAACGAACAGTAATTCGTCGACAAATCGTTGAAATCGTCAAGGTGTTGTCGATTAGGACTTATGGGACTTTCCATTAAAGTCTGTCACCCTTTGGTCTTGGCCCGTGTTCAGCCAGTGGGAAATGTTTTCACTTTCTGCAAAGCCAAAAGTGCGAGCTATCCCGCAGTTGAACGCTGAAACAGAATCTGAAACAGAACCAGCACCAGCACCAGAGACAGACCCAGGCCAGAGTTGGGTTGGGGATCTCACCCACATGAGCTGTATTTGCATAAGCGCGCCAATTTCAACCATTTTGTCAGGGCTTTTTCGTATTTGAAACACGTTTGTCTCATTTGGCCAGAGCGGAGCCCGGCAGAAACACTTTCAGACCCCTAGCCATAAATCCGCCGACTCAACTGCCTGGCTGGCTGGCTGGCTGGCTGGCTGACAGGCCTGGCTGACAAGCCTGGCCATAAAAACAAACTATGCTGCTGCCAACTGCTGGGCTGTGGTGGGGCTGGGGGTGTGTCGCTTTTGCATTTCCAGTAGAGATATCTTCTTTGTTCTGTCAGAGTCGCCCCCTCCCCAAGGTGCAAGTGATGATGCGTCGCATAACTGCGGCACTATCTTTCCAATGAACAGGCTAGAAAATCGAGTGCATGCCCAAGTCTATAGTAGACATTTCTTCGGAACTGCTGTTTACTGCAATTGCCAAGCTGTTTCACAGTTATTGAACCTGCCAGAAGCCAGAAAGCCAGCCCAGTCGTAGCTTCCACATCTCTTTGTTTGCGGCATTCCCTGCGGCATTCGTATCGCTCCGATTCGATTGTTGGCTCTGCACGTGACGCCACTGCGGAGTCACGGAGACAGCGCCACCGCCAGAAGCAGATATGATATTAATGGATGTATTTTTATACCCATACGATTCTCAGTCATTTCGTAGATCTCGTATATACAAACATAGATGTATGTATATGTATCTGGCGGAGGTTTAACAGCTTTTTGTTTTGTATTTTTCCAGCGCAAATATTTAATTTTGCATTATGTGTGTAAGCGCGTGTGTGCCTGCCTCCGCGGGGGGAATCGCAGTTTAGATCGATCGCATCGCGGATCGTTTTGCGGGATTTAACAATTCCTATCACGTCAGCTCCTAGGGACGTTGTCCGTGTGGGCGGGGGGATCGTGTAAACTGTTAGTTCGCACGTTCGCGGCAAATATTCGGTACGCCATTAGGCGAGACTCATACGCATTTGGGCCACGCTTTTAGCCCGATCGCAATAATTGGATAATTCTATTTGCCTCCACAGTTCAGCTCGCTGGATCCCCACACGGCCCAGTGGCGCGTCGACCCCTGCCAGCTGGAGGACACCGCCTCGGAGATGGAGGATCCCGTGCGCCTCTTTCACGGCCGGGTGAGGATCGTGTGGGAGCACGGCCTGCACGCGCTGCGGTCGAAGCTGATGGTCACAGTGCTGGGCAAGGGAGAGCAGTGCAAGGATGCCAGCAAGCATCAGTGCCTGAGGATCGGGTGAGTTTTTGGACAAGAAGAAGCCTCTTCAGCCCGATCAGAGTGTAGCAAGTTTTGGGCATGTATCCTTTCCAGGGACGAGCCCATCCTGTGCATCTCCAAGGAGCTGGCCTGTGACGGCATCCGCCACTGTCCCTACAGCAACGAGTACGACAGCGATGAGGACTACGAGATGTGCCTCAAGCAGCGCCGACCTGGTGCCGGCAATCTGCCCGCGGGCCTGGAGTCGGACCTTTTCGAGCAGTTCGCCCTGGAAGTGTTCCGCAATCTGTTCGCCTACGACGCCCCAATGGCGCCCGAGGATCTGCCCCTCAACGGCTCTGTAGGCCTGGACAACTCAACGGCAACCACATCCACGACAACGCTGAGAAAAGTCCACACCAAAGATATGAAGAAGCCGGGAGGCGATGGTTCCCCCAACTCCATAGGCCCCAACGTTGTGGAGGGGCAGGGAAAGTCGGAAAACGATACAACGGGGTTGGGCGCGGGTGCGGGTGCGGGAACAGGAGCCGGCAGTGGCTTCACCCGCCGCAACTCGACTCGAACGGGCCTCCACTCGGACCTCTCCAAATACGGGCCCTGGGGATACCTGATGCTCGGCATGCTCCTCTGCGGCGGTGCCCTGCTCATCTGCGGCCTCTGGGGTACGTTCAATTGCACCATTTTCTAGTCCAAGTAAGACACAGTCCGTTCTCCGCTCGCCATTTTCCATCCATTCATCCACTGCATTACACCTCTCATATTCCAGTCTTTTGCGATCCCCCACACTGAACCCATCCTTTCCTTTGCAGCCTCCGCATCACAGCACGCGGTAAACAATGAGAGGGAGGCTGCGCTGGCCGCTGCCAACGGCGGAGGTGGAGGCGGTGGCCTCGATCAGCTGAACGCCGCTTCGCCACCCAACTACGAGGAGCTTGACCCGCCGCCGGCCTACTCGGTGCTCTTTCCCAACCAGAAGGCTGCCAGCAGCACTACGCTAGACCTGGATGCGGGAGCGGCTAGCACCAGCCACACAACAACAACAACCACAACAACAGCAGCAGCAGCAGTGGCATCGGCGCCGACTGCTCTAACTGGTGCATCACCAGGCGATCCCCAGCAGCAGCAGCAGCAGCAACAGCAGCAACAGCAGGAGGAACAGCCAACGAACTAGATCGTAAGCCTGACAAGAAGGTGTAGCACCTGGAATAACCATAGATTAGGTACCCAACATCTCTCTGACTGACTCTGATGCAATTAGCTTAAAACCAATTTAGTGATAGATCTAAGTGTAACCTCGATGTTGAATGTTTGACTATGCTAACCACTCCAACCGTCCTGCATCCGAACCGCGTCTGTCCCAGGCCCCAAAGGCAGTTGACAGACCCATTAGAATCCAATAATCGAAGACATATGTATGTAATTGTAAAGCTGCCGCAGCAGCAGCCACTGACGAATCGCTTGACTTTTGTATTTCTGTTAATTTAAAATTTAATGTGATATAAATTTAAAACTCAATAAAGAAAGAAATGTGTTTAAGTAGTTTTACGGTCCAAAAAAAGGGTAAGGCACGGTATTAAATTGTTTTATGTAGCAACATAGGCATCGTTATTGGACTTTCCATCAGGCTATATTTCTGGATATTTTCGTGTGACATTTGAAGGGAAATTTCTTCCGATACATATGGGTCATGATATAGTTAGTAGTATTGCTATAACATAAATGAAATATTCTCGAATAAAGTCTGCAAATCCGAAAAGCTTATATCTCCGTATAAGCGAACAGAATGAGTTGATATGAGTTACACATAGGACAAACAGCAATATTTGTATATATATGTATATATGATAGCCTATTTGGGGTCCACACATGGCCATCGGAACATTTGCTCGGCACTGTAAATCCATTTTGTGGCAGCTGTCAGAAAGTAAAAAGACCACATAGATCGATCGATAGAGATTGATTTCACAGGAGAGGGTCGAGGGAAAAACGCACCCCATTTGGTGCCCACCAGCACCGGGCAGCCCCCATGCTCGGTTCTCGGGTCACCTTGGAGACTGCTATTCATGTTGTAAAAGACCACAGCACTGCCCTTCATGGGGCTGCGGAAAATCCCCAGACGTGGAAACACCGTTTTGCCACCCTGTTCGACATCGTTCAACTGCAGGACAATGATGGCGACTATTCAGATGTTCAGCTCCTCAATCGATATACTCACATAGAAGAGAACTGTTGCTATCCTGTCGCCACGTTGAATATATTCTGAATACTGCAAATCCATTATTAGGGCCAAAGCCAACCATCTAATAAACAAATGCTCACTGCGGGTCCAAAGTAGTCAGAATGTGTCAAGTACTGTGCGGCAGTGGCGTAGTTGAGAACCAGCAATTCATCAGAAGATCCATCTGCGAGCACTTCGAAACCGGTCATGTGCATCACACGGCGATTGACCTTTGTCACGGCCTTGTATTGGTGGTCGGTTTGAAAGGCGCTCATGGAGGTGCGACCAGTGTTCTTACTGTCCTCGTCCGAGTAAGTGTAGACTTTGCTGCGCTCCATATCTGGGAAAGCATTGTCCTTGAGTTCCTCAATCTCGCTGTCATAGATCACATCGTGATACATGGCTATGTACGGGTCCTGGCTGAGGGGCTCCACTTTGAAGGGGGCCAGCCGCAGCACAGGATGAGTGTGGAAATCGTAGTGGCAGCTCAGACCTTTGGGCGGGTCGAAGAGGCCGCGGCAACCCCTGACGTAGTGCTCAAAATTGATCATCTTTAACTGCCTTGTTCCTTGTGTCGGCTTCAGATCGCCTCTCTCCAGGAGCTCCAATTGGCGAAGGATGCTCTGGTCGTCGATTCCAAGGGTCGAAGCCCGTTGCAGCACTGTTAGAGCGAGCTCCTTCTTGTCTGCAAAGACGTTGTCAGTGGACGGATGGATCTACAGGTCGATCCCGACTCCTTACTCATGTTCAAAAGGTTTCTGGCGTAGAGCTGCAGAACAAGAGCCCAACTGTAGCCCAACACCCGGTTGATCTCATCATTGTCGGAGGTCAGCGCTATGGCCTCAAACCAAGCTTCGGCCAGGTCAAAGTATCTCCGCTCAAAGCCATGTCGGGCTAGAGCAAAACAGTCCATTGCACCGAATCTTTTGGATCTGAAATGGAAAACTCGTCAATGATTCAATCGAAATAGAATTGAGTTTCCCTATGGATTCACTTGTATTGCTTTCCATTGATCAGACCACGGGAAAAGTCACCGACGGACAACCCATAGACATCGATCAGGATATATATAGCCTTGCAGGCCTCCACAAAATCGACCTTAGAGGGTAAATACGGTCGTAGTGCCTGCGCGTGTTTCTGCCACTCTGAAATATCAAGAAGCGAGAATCACCTCAGCACTTTTCGTACCGTAATCCATGCCATTCCGACCTGGGGCCACCTCCTTTCGCATAAATCGCAGCCACTGCGGCCAATCCAAGTGCAGGTGTCGCAGAAGGGCAAACTGCTTGAAAGCGCTGAATACTCGGCCCACGCGGCTCTCCTCCAGCTGTTGCACTTCCCTGTCCATCTGTTCTATGGCGCTGAAAAAGTGCAAGCTCAGCAGCGACCAAGTTAGTTCATTTCACTCACAGCTCCACTTTATGCAAGGTTCGTTGCAGCTCCCCTGCATACACTTGCAGATCGACGACGAGGAATTTCTTCAATCCCAGCAAATTAATCATATCGCTGTTGGAATATGTATAGCCGTCGTGGTAGTATACCTGGTATGATTCCCCTCTAGCCATTATAGCAATAGACAATGAAAATATAGACAAAATGAGCATTCTCATCTTAGGAGCATCTGGCGCGAATATGAATTCGGAAATACATCCATACATCCAATCCATTTTCGATTCTGCCTTTTCTTAACCATGACTGTAACTAATGGATTGATATGCATAATGAATCAGTTGTAAGAACAGTTTTCCTACAGAAATGCTCTATATACGGCCTATCCATTTCTAAAATTATTAGTTTATTGCAGTTTAATGGACAAATCGACACTACATCTGGCGCCCGAAGTGGATCCGATGACCAGGCAGAAAACTACAATCTTTATTTGACGGTAGGATGGCTCTCGCATATCCTGATGGCCATAGCCTCTAATGATCTTGAAAAGTGTGTTGTTTTTGATTGGTTCCATTGAGCAGGGAGTCGTGGTGCCAAGGCGACGGACAGAAGTGTCCCATCCAAGGATTTCCTCGATTGCCAGATAGGTGTTTCCAATCCAATCTGTTGTATATGCCATAGAAGCTGCCGCAGCACCAGCCATTGACGAATCGCTTGACTTTTGAATTTCTGTTAATTTTAAATTTAATGTGATCTACGAATATAGCGATGTAAATAACGCCATTACCGGAGACGCGCTCAAATGGCACTTCTACTTCACTTTTACATGCAGTTTACAACCAAATTCCACCCAAAAATATGCTATAAAAGCCGCGTAAAGCACTGAAACAGATTGTGATTGATCGATCTGATATGCATACCTTACACAAGACGTCTTTCTGCTGCGGAAACGTGTGAAATACGGCCAAGAAAGCCGTGCATCTTTTTTTCCCACCATGAAGTCTAAGTTCTTCGAAAAATATTCATAGCATACCTCATGATCACATACGCTGCAATGGAAAACTTTTGTGAAGTTGCATTGAAGCAAAATAAAATCATAAAATCATCATCGGTTCAGTAACCGATATTAGAGATATTATTCGTTACAATCGCTAGCGGTTTCGGTAAAATTTAAATATCTCTATAATTTCTATTTCTCTATTTCTAGTTAGTTTAAGTTAATAATGTATGTATAGTCGTACCTACTTTTATACCTGTATGTGCCTCTGGTAGGGGCTTTTGGCAGACATCGTTGGAGTGACATCCGTTCTGGCCCCGGAAGAAACAAATAAACTTAGTCAGTGGGGGTTTTTTTTCACATCGAATAAACATCTGTTTTATTTGCATTTCAGGGAGGTCGCAGCTCAGGGGAAAGATTGGGGAAGGGGTGTTTTGTCACATTTAATTGCAAGTGCTAAATGAGTTGAGTTTATCTTTCGTTTTCGTTTTCTTTTTCGTTTAACTATTATTTTTACCGATATTCTAACGTTGCTCTGATTATTACCACCCACTCTATTACCACTCTGATATTTTTCTCTAGATACTCGTATTGTTTGCTTGTATGTATGTATGTATTTTCCGCTAGCTACCCAATCTCTTCTATGTCTATGAATGTGCCGTGCCTCAGGAAGCTCGGTTGCGTAGTCCCTAGTCCTCTGAAACGGAGGAACACCGAAGCCTCGCTTCCCTGCGACACACTGAATCGTACTGGTAATCGTATAATCGCATACATATATGTATCTAAAACCGAATTTACACACTAAAAACGTGAAGCAGTTTTTCCGAGACAAGACAAGACAAAACAAAAACTAAAACCAATCCCTTCGATGGGCTCTCCGGTATCGCTAGCTGGCAAAAAGTCGCACTACGGTTGCAAGTTTGGTTTAGTTGACTCGAAAGTTCTACTACGTTCATGTACTATACATAATCGTACTATGTATGGTGTTGTGTGTATGTTAATGTATACTTAATTGCCAATTTCAGCAGTTTTGATGCTCGCAGCACGCAGGGTCGCAGTGCCAGCGGTTATCCGGGCTGAATTCTAGTTTCCGGTTCTACTTACATACTCATAAGATTTGGGCGTTTTCGTGTTCATCGATTCCATTCATTTTACAATGCTTTCTTAGTGGCTAGACGTGATCATAAATACTTGATACTCGATACATATGTATATTGTATAATTAATTGGGTGCAGTTTATGGATATTTTCTTACATCTGTATAAGTTGTGCAGATTCCCCGTGTTCTCCTGTCATCTCCGTCTGTCGTGTCTCTGTGTCTGTCTCAGTGTTTGTATCTGTGTCTGTGTCTTTTGTCGCCACTTGACAAAAATTTGTTTAGCCAAAAGGGATCGTTTGTTCGTTGCACGGATTCAAAAATGCGGTTCTCAAATTCGGGCAATACTTTTTGGCCTGCATATTCACTTTTTCCATAATCCATTACTCCTCCGCGGAGATCGAGGAGATCTGGTCGTGGCATACCATTTTGGCAATCATAAAATACATAGACTGAATCGACTTTTGCTGTTACTCTTCCAAGTATTCACTGAAATATGCCTTTTACCCCACGAGCACCGAGTAGAAGAAAAGGACCAGAGTGACTCAAAAGGGATTCAAAAACCCGACCCCTTTTGGCAGCTTAGGCGAAATAGTGGCAACCGTGGCTAGGAAATACTCCTTCTTACATCTAAGTCATAGGCCATAGGGTATTAGCTTAGCAACTAGTTGTTGTATGTGGTTCAAGAACACGTTTGATACATAGATAAAAACCGATCTCTGATAAAACGTCCTGTGTTATGTTTAGCTTGTATTCAAAAGTCATTAAAAATAAATTCAAATTCAAAATCGTCTGCTTCTCCGTAAGAGAATCCTTACGCTTTCGCTAAAAATGTAATATTCTTTGAAGGTTCTGTGTTGCTGTTTAGTTTGCTTACATGCTACAAATACTCGATAGTATAGTTCGTCTTGAGCCCTACACTAGTTGTCTATCATTTAAAATTGGACGCCAAAAAACAATTAACAAAATCGACGCGAAGCCTTACGAGTATTACTTGCTGAAAATTTCAATTGTAATTGTATTTGTGTGTGTGCTGTGTGTGCATCTTTATCTGCAGATACAGATGTAGATGCAGATGAAGATACAGATGCAGATGCAGATGTGTGTTCTCGTTTCGATCGAGTGTTTGTGTGGGTGAGTTCAGCTCATTGGTTGCTCATTTGCTTACTTCTGAATAAATAAGGCCAGTGGATACGCATACATCATAAAAGTACAATTCATATTTATCATATTCAATGTTTCACATTAATATACAAATCTAGTTAGTTTATAAAAGCGCTTTTGTCGGGTCCAAGCCACACACTTGCCAAACGTATGTCCTTTGTATAATCCCTTCTAGTAGCTGCAATGCAATCTACAAACGTAGCGAAAAGCTTGTATCCTTAACAATCCTAGCGATTTTATTAGCTCCCTCAGTTTAGTTGCTTCAAAGTTGTCTGGTATAAAAAATAGAAAAAATTTCGTGACAATAAAAACGGTTTTCCCTAGTACACATCATCTCCCATCTACATACATATTTTCGTATTTTCGTCGTATCGTATTCCAAAAACTATCTCAATATCGATGCCAAAAAGTATCCCTATCGAGAGCGATCATTAGGTAAATGTTCTTTCGAAGCTTCAGTACTAATAAAATCGGCTTAACTGCTACAGAGTAGGGCATACAATAGGTTCTCATACTTGAATATGAAACACGATATTAACTGCTTAGCCTATGCACACATGCACATGCACATATGTACACATGCAAGTGTATCTGCCTTAAATATGTATGTATGTATTCTTTTGTATCTCTATTGAAAATACGCTGCTGATTGCTTAAAAGTTGCTCGAAAAGTTAGTGTATCTGTCATTTGCTGTTATTGAACTACATTCCTATATATGTATGGGTATACTGCTGGCTATGTGCTGCGATTTCTCTAGCGATGTTCATCGTATTAAAATCACATTGATTGTACATGTAATGTGTATATACGTGTGTTTGTTCTGTTCGAGTGAGTGGCCGTTTGAAGAGAGAGAAGAGGATTCATTCATTGCTTATCCGTAAGCGTTGACCGACTAAGCGATCTGTCGATTTGTCGATTTGTCGGTCCCTCTGTATCTTTCGATACCTAATCACACACTGGCATTTCCATCTCTAGATTCGACAATCTTGACTAAGTTCTTGGTCATGTTCTTGTAGTTTTTTTTTGTGCTGTTTTCCAATGGTATGGCTGTAGTTGTTGTTCCTGGATTTCCTTTTGCTGGAGTGTCAGTTGCTGCGACAACGATGAATCAATCAATGAAACAATGTCCCTGCTCCCATTGCCGAACCAAAAGCAAATTGTGCGAATGAACGAAGGCGACGGGGACGAGGACGAGGACGACAACGACGAGTGGTGGTTGAGGAGGAAGTGGCGCACTCGAATTGCTGCCAGCGCCACAACAGATGTGCCAGAGCCCGAGCCCCACACCTAGCCCCAGCTCCCGACCGGCAACGAATGTCGGTGGAGCTGCTGTTGGGGCAGGACTCAGGAACGTGTGCGTTTGGGTTGCGTGCCGCTGTTCGCGAGTCTTCTGGATTTCTGGAGAGTTGTTCAGGCAGTCGCTGGGAGCATAACTAACAATAGTTGCCATTACCATACCACGGAAAGGTCCAGCACCATCAGTGCGGAAGCATCAGAGGCCGTGCCGTGCTGCTCAGTCTATGATGCGACTTGTCGATGCTTCCGCCTCCACATCCGCCTCCGCCGTACTCATCGTAGCTGAGCAGAGGGGATATCTTGAGGCCAGTCTTCTCGGGTATAATCTTGAAGTGGGGCTGGTCGGCACTCACCAGCAGGGGTCGCTTCATCGAGGAGTGCATGTACTCGTGGGGATGCGGGTGGGGATGCGCGGCCGCTCCAAGGGGTCGCCGGGTGCTGGGCACGTTCATCTTCTTGCACGGCTCCGGCTTGCTCTCGTAGTTCATCTGGCAGTTCTCCGGCGAGTACTTGTTCGGCTTGTAGATGGAGAAGATGTTGTTGATCAGACTGAGGGCCGAGTGGCCGCCGGCGGAGGCATGGTGAATGCCGGCTGTGGGCTGCTGTGTGAGCACGTTGCCCACGGTCGGGTGACTGTGCTCCGGGTAGAAGTTATTGTACTGGTACGAGGGTAGGACGTCCGCGGTCGGGTAGATCTTGTGCCCGTAGCCTGGCGCAGGCACATAGGCGGGCGCACGACCCGGTCCAGAGAGGTGATGGAACGAGGGGGTGTCGGCATTCTCAAAAAAAGGATATCCAGCATTGTTGGAGGACTCACTGGAGTCCAGCTGCGGCGGCGAGGGCATGCCTTCGAGCAGGGACTTCTTGATCATTAGGCGCTCGTGCTCCCGGTCGTGAAGGTCGATGGGTTGTCCGTTGTTGTAGCACCTCACGTTAACGTTCTTCACCTTGAGGCTGCTCTGCATGTTGCGCCGCATGTCCATGTTGATGGGGCTGGGTGGCTTGTCCAGCTGCTCCCAGTACTTCTCCAGATCGATGTTGAAGTCCTCCAGGTCGATTTCGGTTGTGTCTGAGCAAGTGTCGTCATCGAACAGATTTGATGGCTCCATTTCCAGCAGGGATTTGCTGCGTGTGGGTCGCTGGTAGTTGGGGTACCGACGCGCTGGGCTGCGGGGAGCAGGTGCCGCGGCCAAGTACCGTTCGTCCTCGTCCAGGAACTTGTCCTGCAGCAGCAGACGTTCGCGCTCCGCCCGTATGAAGTGCTCCAGATCGGTGTCGTAACGGCAGTGCATGTGCTCCTCTTCCTCTGCCGCTGGATGGTGGCCGGGGCAGTGAACACGGGACCGCGGTCGAACCACCAGATGGGGCTGTGGCTGTCGGTGGCAGCAGCAATCGTCCGCAGCACAGCAACATATCACGGTGGGGGCCAGCGTCCTCGGAGCCCGCCCCGCCCGGTGATCGGCCTCTGCCCGCTCCTCGAACAGCCAGTCCGCTGCGTTCAGATTCAGATTCCTGCTGCTGCCAGCCAGCAACTGCTGGGATGGGGCGCGACCCCGCGATCTGGCTGCCGCTCCTGATCCCGGGTAGATGTCGTCCAGCAGGCATCTGGCGCTGGTGCACTGGTCCCGGGCGCAACACCGGTGGGCCAGGGTTCGCTCGTCCAGGCTGTTGCTGTACAGCATGTGCATGTTGCGCCTGTAGGCTTCGCGCTTCTCTCGCCGCGTGTTCGAGGCGGGTGGCAGCTCGTAGTCAATGATGTCGAAGGGCATTGTCTTGGTGCTGGCACTGAACGAGTAGGACTTGGGCACTCCCGACCGATTTTTCAGTATGGAGGTGGTGGCCGGAGCAGCTGGGCCACTCCCACTGCCACTGCCACTGGCCACGCCGCCGCCGCTCTCAAAAACGTTGCCCTCGAAGCACCAGCTCTGCGACTTGGGGTACTGGAACTCCTTGCAGCTCTTGGAGCGATGCAGGCCGTATCCCGTGGAGCCCTCGCCCTCGCCGCGCCGCTCCCGGTTGACTCCTGCCTCGTCCGGATACTTTTCGTCTAGCTCGTTGATGTCGCGGAGCGGGCGGTAAGCGCCGTACTTGATACAGTCCGGTACATAGTCCTCATCCATGTCGTCCGAGCGATTGGAGTAGATGTTGTCCGTGTACCAGGTGGAGTCGAGCTGCTTTGGTCGCGGCTTTGCCTGTTGCAACTTGTCCCGCTTTGATTGGCGGTAGCTCTCGAAGCAGATGTTCTTCATCTTCTCCAGCTTCTGCTCGCGGATCCGTTCCCAGTTCTCCCAGTTCTTGTCGTTTTTGTTTCGGCGCCCGGACAAAATGAGTACGTCCTTGTCCTTCTCCCAGTCGGCACTGCTCTCGTCGCCGTAATCGATGTTCAGTCGCTTCGTCTCGGCCTCCGCTTCTCTCGGGATCTGGTGATTGGAATAGGTGGTGTGGGATGGTGCAGGTGCGATACTACTTCCGGCTAAGCTGCTATTATCGTTAACTACAATTCTAATCCTACGCTTGGTCTTATCCGTCGTCCTCGACGACGTTTGCAACGCCGACTTCTGCGGCCTATTCCGCTCGTCAGAAGGCGGCTCATCTTCTGGCTCTTCTGGCTGTCACACCTCCTGCAGATACTTGACCGGACAGTAGCCCTGGCGGTTGTCGGCTGAGCGCACCATGCACATACCATTAACCTCATCGCCGACCTGGTTGAACGAGCCAACATGGAATAGGAGGTTGATCTCGTTAGCCCCTTCTCGGCTCTCGCACACAATTGGATTTCGTTCATTACCTGTATGACAATCTGGTCTCTCAGTAGCGTGATCTTGTCGCTGCGCTCCCCATCGGACACTTGCAGATTGTGGGTAACCTGCAGGGGCTTCTCACTGGCGTTCAGACGCACACAGTACTTGGATGGAAAGAAGCCAACGCGTCCCAGGACCTTGCCCTTCCACCAGTCCGGATCGGATGTGTCAATGACAGTCACCTGAACGAAACGTGAAACAATTTAGTTGATGGGAGATGATCCATATCAATTCTTGACGTCTCCTAGCAAAAACCTGGCAGAAACAGACTTGAACCAACACCTAATTATATTTGTGTCTCCCTTCAATTGTTGTGAAATAGGACCATTATGATAGAATAGAGAAAACTGCATTAAGCATGGAAAAGGCATAGCTTATAGAGTAGAAAATTCGAAATTCAATACATCTGCCAAGTGGCAAGATGTAAGTACGAGTATCGATCTGACGACTGAAGACTCGTCCCAGATTATCGAACCGCACAGTAAATTATAAAACAAAAGTTCGGTTTATCCACCAGATTGCTCCTCTGGCAAGGACGAAGCCCGAACAAAAGCTAATCTGTAAATATTGAACACTTTGCCAGTGGAGAGGGGAGCGGAGGGGAGGGGGCACTCGCAATCAACGAATGTACACAGAAACGCAGCAACTATTATTATTTCTTCTTATTCGCTGTTTGCGTTGTCCTGTTTACGCAGTAGAAAAAAGAGCTCTGCCCCTCCCTGCACCCTCTTTATATTTCTGTCTTTGTTCAGATACATACGAGCCTGAACAGGGTAGGGTTCTGTTGTCCTTGTTCGTTTTAATATTGAATAAAGAATGGGAAATGCTAAATGCTAAATGCGAAATGCGAATATTTGTGTATGTATATCGTATATCGGGTGTACGCGTATTTCTGATTTTGTTATGCCAATTTCCTGTGCAGCGCAGCCATTGTGTGAGCTAAGCGCTCCGCTTAGTGGATTAAACAAAGCGTGTTGTTTATTATTCATAGTCGTGCATATGGCATACCATACCGATGGGAGGACGAGAACGGGAGTGAGAGTGAGAGTAGGGGTCGGTACTTGGGGGGACTTGCTCACCTTATAGCCAGCCTTGAGGTCGAGTTCGTCGGGATGCCGCGCCTTGAAGTTGTAGAGGATGACGTACAAGTTGGTGGGCAACAGACGATGCGATTTCTTGAAAATGTCGAATCGAAGCGAATCGAATGAGATGGGATTAGATTGGGGAAAGCGTGGATGCGTGAATGCAGTCATTGGCGGATGGTGCAGCAAAAATCAACGCACGAATAGCGAATGAGATTGAGAATGAGTGTGTGAGTGAGTGAGTGAGTGAGTGAGTGAATGAGAAGGGATGGGGGAATACCTGGGGATGTCTTACTGGTGAGAGGCATGGCGAAGTGCTGGCCGAGGACTGTGACTTCTCCAATTCATCCGGTAAATCGACGCTGCCACCACGCATGCCACGTGTGGCATACAACAGCTTGCGGCCCGTATGCGAGGGACTCGATGGCGCTGTAATGGTTTTGGATGCGTTAATCCCTGTTCCAGGACATGCTCAAGGTGTTTGGTTAGTTGGATGTAGTTGAAGTGAATGAACGTAAAAGAACAATTACAAAGATTAGCAATAGAGAAATGAGAATCTATAAAATACGCATAAAGATAAAATACATATACATATGGTAGAGATAGAGATAGAACAAGAGATATAGAGCGGTATTAGAGATTAGATAGGCGCAGTGTTTCAACATACAGTACTTCAGATAGTCCCCGCTAAGGTTGAGAAATACTGGTGTATGATCAGCAGATGTTGTTGCGATCTTTAACTGGAGCTTACGGTTTCTAAGTAATCATGTAATTACGTAATTGTAGCAAGTTTTACGAGATTAACCAAATCAAACTACTCAACAAAAGCTGTACTACGCAGAGTAGCGTTTTCAACGTATTTACATTGTAAGCGACTACATAGTAAGTGTGTTCTCTCTGCTATTGGATAGTTTGTGTGACTTAGATGGTGTTGGGTGTATACGTACTAGATCGAAATTAGGGTGAGGGAATTCGTTAGATTCGTTAGATTCGTTAGGAAGCCAAAGAGGAAGAAGTGGTGGCCTTTTTTCAATAGTTGATCGTAGGTACATAGGTGGTTGTTGGTTGGTTGGTTGGTTGGTTGGTTTTGTGCAGCGACGAGAGTATTCGAAGCTCTCGAAAGAGTCGGTATCGGTATCGGTATCGGCTTTGGGGCCGTTTACGGAATCGGAACGGGAAGTTTTACTGGGTTGCTACTTACAGTGCAGACGGCTGTTGTTCGATGGTGGAGTGCTGTGCTCCAGGTGGCCTCCCGATCCGCCGTGATAGTAGCCGGGGGCCGCTGATGTGGAGGCGCCCGCCACCGGCAGCTGCGGACGCCGCCGGAATTGGCCGTGCAGCTCCGACGACTCGGGGGAGTCCAGGCTCAGGGATTTCATGCGTAAGTTCAACTTTTGCCGGCGCGGTGAGTGCGGTGCTGTTGTTGTTGTTGTTGGAGTTGGAGTTTTTTTTGGTAGGGTTTATTGGTGTGTGTTAGACCATGTTTTGTTGTATTTGTGGTCGGACAATACAAAACATGAGAGATGTTTTTGTTTTTGATAAAACGTGGAATAAAAATATATTGATTTTAATTTCATTTGTTCAGCATTGATCATGTCGATGAAAAATAGAATCTATGCATCTACAGTTTCAAGACAGAAACCAAACAAATACCGAAAATGTAATCAAATTAAAATTGAAACATTCAGTGGCCTTGCGGCCCCACATCGAGAGAAATTATTATTGTAGAAGTACAGTATGTAATACATATATATCTATTGTTTCTTAAACTTAGCAACATTCAACGTTCAGAGACAGAAAGAGAGACAGCGAGTGTGTGTGTGTGTGTGTGTGTGTGTCGGGCATGTCCAGTGTGCTCTCTCTGGGCATCCCGTTTCAGCTGCCGCAAGAACAGAAACCAACAAGAAAGAAGGAAACTTTCTGCTGTCGTAGGTGTGGAAATAGTGGAAAACTTGATTCCAGTCTGCACTGTGAAACAGAACAGTGCTGTGCTGTGCCAGAGGTATGTGAGTGTGTCCATGGAAAATGAATGTAATGAAATGAATGGGTGGAAGTCCTACGAGCTAGGTTCTTATACGTATATGTGAATGAGAACGAGAATGCTTCCCTTTCACATCCTTCTCGTTGTCCGTGCAATATTTACAACAATCAAACAGCAAAAGAACATGTGCAATCGTCAAATATAACTTAATACTTTAATCGTACAGTACGTTTAAGGTTGCTCATATCCAGGCTCTATAAAGTACAAGAATCGAAATTAACTACGGTTTAAATAATTACGAGTACGTACTACATTTATATGTATACATTTATATAGCTCTGCACGAGTATGGGTGAATTAACTACTTTGAGTATTTTATAATAATTACTGTGATGCATTTTTAACATTAATTGAGCTAGGATTCGTGTCTAGGGGTACAGAAAATTCGAAACTTAAGAGATAAGAGATAAAATAATCTTGTTATATATGAAGACTTTAAGTGTCGCTACGCAATGCTGCTCCACCCCCTTCTTCCTTCCTTCTTATCATCTCTTCTATGCTCTACCGTGCCTCAGCTCAGCCGGACTCTGCGCCTGGCCTTGGACTCCTCCGGGAGAGCGGCCTCTGGGCTCTTAAGGCTGGCTCGCGGCAGCATCAGGGGCTCGCCAAAGGGACGTGCTGTTTCAGTTTTCGGATTCGTTGATGCTGTGTCAAATAAGTACATTAATATCATCGCTTGTAATTTCAGTCCAGCTTTCGGCAATTTTCATGGTTAGTAGCAAGTAGCTTCGATGGATCCAGCTCATTGTTAGGGGAACCGAACCGGATGGCCCCAAGCATGGTTCAGTGTTAGCCCCAGCCGCCTTTGACCGAGCGACTGGGTCGGAGGCCAGTGCAAAGAAATGTGAATTAAAACTAATTATACCAAATGAACACACAAAGACCGCAGAAAAGAAAAAGAAAATATTAAACAGTAAGACGCCAGCGTTCATGCATAAGGAAAACCAAAAGATGCGGCCACCGAGGGTGGAGAGTGCTGCCTGGGCCAAGTAATAGAGCAGAAACATAATCCTAGGGAAATAACTACCGAGTCTCGCTCGAAGGAAGTCGAGACCAACAACAACAGCACAACTGACGACAACATGCAGAGAGGAATGGCGAAAAACAACTCTATAAAAGGCTGACCGACAATAAGATACCCGCTATTACTCCAAACTACCCAGCGAGCTTATCGCTTTACAATTTAAGATTCCTTTATACAGAAAATACAAGCTTTAGAAATAGTCGAGGTAAAATTGGTCGAAGATTACTTGATTACCGTGGTCGACACAAGAATTTTGGCGCAGACCCTGAGAGGGAAGGACCTATTTCTGCCTGCTGCATACAGGTGCATGGATACATTATACCCTTGTCCGCTGCGAGTACTCAGTATTGAAGCAGGCGGAAAGCCCTGGGAAAGGCAGGCCCAAAAAGGAATGAAAAAATTGTGTGTCATAACAATTTTTAGCATAATTATGTTCGGCTAGGGACAGACCCCAGTTCCTAGTTCCCAGCGCTGCCTACCCCCATCTCCCATCTCACATCCTCCTCCACGCGCTAAGAAGTTACATAGCCGAAGACAAAAAAGTTTTTCGCCAGCGACTTTAAAGTTGTTTCTGTGGGTGAATTCTGGATCGGGAGCCGGAGCTGGGGCTGGGGCTAGGGCTTGCGTTGGAGCATCAGAAATGCAGCAGTCTTCAAGCACAAATGAATCGAGTTGTGGGAGTTGGCATGAGCTGCGAAAAAAGTTTTTTCCCCGTCAGCAGCATTTGTATGCAATGCAAGCAGTGCACTGCTTGGAGCATTCGCGCTCGTTCTTTCCATTTTCTAGGAAGTTACGCGGCTGAATTTTTGCACAAGAGTTGACAATGGCTTGTAATTTACACGGCATCAGCAGTAGGCAACAACACTGGCTGAACTAAAGAGACGAATTCGGTGTTCTTTCGTCTCAGACCAAGCTGGAGCCATGATGGAGCCGCTTTCACCAGAAAAAGGAACTCGGGCATGTACACAAATGATGGGAATATGCGCCTGGACTGCTGTTGCCGTTGTAGTTGCTTTTGTTTGTTGGTGTGCAACGGAAATGAGCCATTTGCTTGAAGTGCAAACTGGGTTAAGACTAATTGGCATTTACTCTGGCCTTTGTTTGAGCGGGCTGCCTCGTCACGGGCTCCGCGGCCTGGCACTCACGACTCGAAATTAAAATAACTGAAAAGCGCCTGACTCTTCTGTCTTTTGGCTGGGGTGCAGACATTTATTGTAAACACAGATGCACATAGACGAACAGATACGTATATACACTCATCTGTGGCCTGCCACAGGACAAAACATTAAATAATGGAAGACAAGGCTCGGCGGACCGAAGATCTTGGTACCCCTGCAGATCGATCATTGCCTCGTGAGCTTTAGAGATTAGAGTGGTCCGATATGTATTCGTATTGATCAAATTTGGAAAGTTCTGGCATATTATACTGGCCTCTGCAAGGGCAAAATCGATACAAGAAACACTGAAACACATTTTAAACATCAATTGCGAATGATAACTAAAAGCATTACTATCTTGACTAGAAGCGGTGATTTGAGTTTTTGTTGAAGTTGATGTCGATGTCGATGTCGATGCAGTGCTGGTTGAAGTTCTTGCAATATTAAGGGGGGTTTGGGATGATGAAGATGGTGAGGTGCTCAGATGGTGGGCTGATGGTGGTGATGACTTGTGGTGCTTTATGAGAGGGTTGTTGGATAGGTTGGGAAGCTTGTGATAATGACTATAAGGTCTATTGCTATGATTATGGTTATGGTTATGGTGTGGCTCTTGCTGGTATGTGTCGTATTTACTTTCCGGCAACGAGATCGATCGATTCTGGGACGATTTCTTCCGCAAGAGTCCGTAACCGGACAACGGTCGAAACCCGGCGAACAGACGCCTCCGCAGTCCCGTATCGCTCGCGAGGTAGCTGCTGCCGCTTCCGGTGCCGGTGCCGGTACTGCCACTGGTAGTGGCACTGGCACAGGCGCCGCTCCCGGATGGCTGATGATGCAAGGGTGACGATGTTGCTGCTGCTGCTGCTGCTGCTGCTGCTACTGAAGAGGATGCGGCATACTGTGGCAGCCCCGCATACGGCTGATGCAGAGCGCCGGCGGTATAGTAGTTGATGCCGAAGCCATTGCTGATGTACGCCGAGCTGGACATATTCGAGACGGGGGCAAAGAACTGCCCGCAGCGTTGATCTTTGTGTTTCGGTTCGAAGTTTGTTGTTTGTTGTTTGATGTTGTTTGTTATTTGATTGGTCATTTGGTTATTTGGTTAATTAGTGGTGGCAAGCGAAACGAAAATTGGCAAAAAAGATATGGACACGAAAGAATATATAGATATATATATATATATATGAATGTATATACTGCACATTTCACTAAACCTAGAATGTGTCTGTGCTGTGTAGAGGCCTGCCAGGACATAGGATACAAAGCATCCCAGAGACAGACAGGAGGCAATAGGCAGTCTCCAATCAATCAGTCAGGGGCTGCATTAACACTCTCTGCCAATTGGAATAATGCATCTGCAGACCGCAAGGGAATGCCAGTTGCTGTTGCTGTTGCTGTTGCCAGTTGCAACATGCAACTGCGGCGCTAATTATGTGCACATTTGTCAAGATTTGGCAACGTCGTTTCATGTGATTGCTCTTGAGACAATGGAAGAGCCATCCTTGGCCTTCCTGTCTGCCCTGGGCGTCTTGTGGCAATCTATTTTAATGGAAACTCATTCGCTCGTGATGCAGAATCGGCTCGGAAAAAGCTGCAACACAGAACTCATTCGCACACACACTCACAATCAGAAACGTTCTCGGAATCAAGCTGATGCTGTTGACTCTCCCCGATTAGATTATTTGAGTAGAGAATGCATGGATATTGTCTCCGTATATACGTATATATGTGGCATAAGTAAATCAAAGTGTTTAGCATATACAAATTAATTGCGGTTAACTACATACGATATGGTTCATAGATACTAGATATCTTTGCGTTCATTGTGTATATGTATAGGTATATGTATGTATGTATGCTGGCGATGCTGGATGATACTGACTAAGATACGAGAAAAATGTATTCAGAAACTGTTCCAGTCAAACGCACTTCAACTGAAACTCTAAGATATATTTGATTTATAGACAAAATGCATATTGTTGTGTGTTGTTGGTGTGTATATCCGTGTATCTTGTACGTGTGATATGTACGTGTGTACGGGTGGAGTGGGCGGAGTGGGAGTGTGTGTCTTAGTAATTGTTTAAATATTGGCCAAAATCTAAATCGCAAGCGTAGTATCAACTGCCAAGCGAAGCAATAATGGGGGCAACTATTTGGTTAGGGCAATGCGAATGAAGTTGAAATTGAAATTGAAATTGATTTGCCATATCTAGATACAAATTTGTAGAAAAAGACAGAGAGAAAATGCAATCGAGTGTAACTAAATACAACTAAGATATGTGAGTGGATGGATGAGCAACTACTTTCTCAAGAAGATATTATGGAGGAAATCTACATGAGGTATCTTTTGGATTACAATCGACGCGTCGACTTTGGCTTGATGTGAATGTTGGGGAGTGTGGGGCTAGAGAAATGCGGAAGATGGTTTTAGTTGGGTGTGGGGTGGCGGTGGGGGTGGGGGTAGCTGAAGCACTGAGACGGTATACGGGAGTATATGGGACTCGGGACAGAAACAGACAGAGATCGAAAGTAAGAGGAGAGTCAGAGAGGGAATACAGAGGAGTACAAAAAGATGAAACCAAAACCAAAACCAAGACCGAAGCCGAAACCAAAACCGAAACTACAACATAACATACTTATTTAGAAAAGATCAGAAAAATGTGAACTCAGCAGAAAGAGAAACAGAAAGAGACAGAAGTGGATGAAGTGAGGTGAGTGTGAGAACAAAAGACAGATGGGGATAGATGAAGAGATAGTTTTTAGAGAGATAGAGAGTAACAACAAACTACTTTTGCTGCCATTTGGTGATTTGTCGGACCTGAACTACTCGATATATCTTGGGTGGGCACTGGCAGGCCGCCACGTTGCTGCTGCAGCTCCTGTTGCTGCAGTTGCACGCCCAGAATGGGCATGGCCACGGGCGGCGGACGCACGCCCCGTCCGGCCCGCACCGCTGCCGCCTGCGCCACCGATGCCAAACTTCGTTGCTGCTGCTGATATTGCTGCTGTTGTAGCTGCTGCTGTTGCATTTGTTGCTGCTGCTGCTGTTGTACTTGTTGCTGTTGCTGTTGCTGCTGTTGCTGCTGCTGCTGCTGTTGCTGCTGCTGTTCCTGCTCCTGCAAGGCCAGCTCGGAGACACTGACAATAGGTATATCCGCCGGCCGTAGGCCCGGCACCATCTCCCGCTCAGTGAACGCGGGTCCGGGGATCGAGCCTCCCACGAAGCTGCCATCCAGCACCTTGGCCTGGACGGACTTGTCGGCGCCTGCTGCAAGATGCCCGGATTTAAGTTCGCCGGCTTGTTTCAGCACGCGGTAAATTTGATCGATTTCGGTTATTTCTTTGGGTGCCGTAGGAGAGTTGACAAGTTCATTGATTCGGTTCATTGGTTGGTTGTTTGGTTGTTTGGTTGGTGAAGGGCGATGGTGGCCAGTTTTGATTTTGGTTTGATCGATTTCAATTCGTATTCAATTTTGGATACAGTATTTTTGATGACCGTGCGTGGTTGATATTTTGATATTTTGGAATTGATATTACAAATTGGAAGTGGTTTGAGCAGTTCTCTAATTTGGAATGAGCTTAATGGATGGGGAGGGAGTTTGGAGTCTACTTATCATGATCTCAACTGCATAGAAGTACATATGTATGTAGATAGGGGATAGTGTGGGGGACTGAGATTTGACTAACGTTACGCTAGTGGGTTTTACATCCTGCCCGCAAGCGATCGACCTCCTCGAGGTCTGTTGGCTGCCCGAAGACCCGTCCCCAAGGAGTACCCCGCAAGAGCTATGCGGAATGAGAGTGAGGCAACTTCTAGTGAACTGTTCGACATACTGGTGAATTACTGTACGAGTACGAGTACGAGTACGAGTACGAGTAGGAGTATGTGGTGGCTATAGCATGCTCCGCTACTGCAATTGATTTATTTTTCTTTGGGGCCCTTTAGCTCCTTCGATTTACCGACGAGTGGGTGTCCTCCGAGTGGATCTAGCTTGTGTAATTTGTGTAATATGTATGTTTATTCGTGTTTGGTTGTATGTTTTGATGTTAGATTGACTCTGAGCTGATTGTTCATTCGCTGATTGTCTCGCTAGTTAAGTGAGTTAAAGCGCAACAGTCAAACAACAACGAAAAATCCAAAAATCCAATAAAAATCATAAGGTTCAAGCGCATTGCAGTCGAGTATCTGGCGCGGACATCGCACGACAAACACGTACACGAGTACGTATAGATCGCAGATGCTATGTATAGCTATTGATATTGATTTATATGTGGGTACGTACAGCTATGGCATATACTATATATGTTAGAGTAATACTGATCATTTGGATACCTAGCTGCGCAATGCGTTGCATGAAGGGCGTCTTTTGACGGAATTTCGCGTTCGGATTTGAGCTCGGATTCGGATTGGAACTCGAACTCGAGCTCGGATCCGGCACACTCAGCTGATCCTCTGCCTGATCTTCTACCGTTGCCACAACGGACTCCTGTTGCCATGCTAGTGGGGTTCGGTGTGGTTTGTCGGAGGGGTGTTCGGTTTTCGGTGTTCGGTGAGTGGGGGAAGAGGATTTCAATGGAAATTCAGATTGAGTTATTCACATTAATGCTGAGACGACAATTTGGAATTCGTGTTGATTAACTACTTGCAGATGGATGGCACTTGCATTCTCGAGGAATGTAACAAACTGGCACTCCTTCACAGTTCAATGAGCAGGCAAATCATCTTCATCATCATCATCCTACGAGTATCTACACACTGCAGGCACCTCTGTACGTGTATCTGTTTCGAGGACAACGGGACAGACGGGAGGGCCAAGAAAATTGCAAAGCTCTTGTTCGCTGGTGCTTAGAGAATTGCGACACAAATCACAAATGCCACAGCCTGTATGCCGCCACGAGTGCCATAAATCCATTGTGAAATCAACTGATACCAAGGCAATCACAGACTCGCTCCGCCCTGAGCAGCTCAGATCAATAAATGTATGCCAAATGGTAAGCAAAATGTATGCAAAATGTGGCTTCCGTGGTCCGGGGATGGTGGGCGGAAGAGTGCCAGTTGGAGACCAGAGTCCAGAGACCAGAGACCATAGACCATAGACTATACTAAGAGAACAGAGAGCATGCAATGCAATTGTTTCGAGCCTCAAGGTTAGTTCCTGGAACAGGATATGCCAGGTGCTGCCTCCATGCAAATGCAGTTAGGGCACGGTTAGCCGGACAAATTGTTGGGGGACTTGGACTTCCAGCCAAGCACATTTCGGCACGACAACATTTCCCCCACAAGTCGTTATTTCCCCCCACATTCCCTCCAAAGCGGGTCTGTCTCCGTGTTGGTGAGTGTATCTGCATGTGGGCTTGCGTGTTAGTGTGTGCGTGTGTGTGCGAGTGTGTTTGTCAGGGGACATGGCTGTGATGATAATGCGTGCCAGATACTTACTTTCCTCCTCAACATCAACACGATTCTCCAGCTCGGAGGTGCTCTTCTGGCGCCGCAGGAGCTTCTGCTTGGGCTGGCAGCGCGGCAGATTCGGGGCACAGTCTCCGTGGGCATTCAGCTTGCAGATGCGGCAGCGTAGGCCTTGCCGCGTGTGTCCTATAAGAGGGAAGGCCCATTGCCAGCAAATGGTTAGTGGCTTACTCGTAAAAGTGTACTGATTTGGGTGGGGATAGGAATGAGAATTGGGATTGGGACTGGGACTGGGCCCATACGCACCTCTCAGTATCTGCGAGCAGGCATCGCAGGCCGTTATCTTCTTGTACGTGTACTCCTGCAGATGGTGGCTCCCGTCCAGGTTGGGGCGCAGCGGCTCGGAGGCCGTGCTGGAGGCACCATTACGCCTGTGTGGGAAGGGGGAAGGTGGCAAAAGGGTTCGGCATCAGTAAGAAGGCTAGGCAATGGAGTCGTCGCAAATGTTGCACTTGTCCCCCATTTCTCGTTACACCACCGGCCGGGCCGGGCCAGGCCAGGCCCGGAGCATATGCTGATCAACTTTATGGCAGCTTTTGTTTCATATTTTATGCTATTTCAGATTGCTGTTACACACGACAAACAATGCACAACAAACAATGGGGTGTGGACAATGCACAGTGGATAATAGACAATGGACTTCCTGTGCTTGGACAGGAAAAGAATTAGAATAAATGTATTTAAAAGCAGACAACACTCGGCTCTCTACTCAGCCCTATTGGATTCATTGGAATCTGTTACAATGCCCATTCGATACTGTTCGAGTGGACTTCACAGCCAGACGATCATCTCTGCCAAATGCACTGTGCTGTTATTTATGTTCTGCACACAGCACAACGAAAGCATTTCAACAATTTAATTTCATATTTAACACAGAGATACAACCAATTTGCAATTGCAACTGAAACTTTTCCCTCTCTCTCTCCCTCACACACACACACACACACACACACAAGAGGTGCACTTGTATTTACCAGAAAAAAACAGAAAGGGTGAAAGAAGGCTGGCACTCCTCCGGCTCAGGCTCAGGCTCAGACCTAGGCCCGGTCCGGAATCAGGAGTGTTGGTAAGTGCACACAGATGCGGATGAGCGCAGAGGAACGGACATCCAGGCAGCCTGCAGTAGGGACAGACAGTCGAACGGACAGACGCACGAGAAAATAAATTCAGTTGAGCTCATCGGCACAATATTTATAAAGTTGTGTGCTGAAAGTGCGTAAAATACGAGTACACAATTTCCCGCAAGTGGCCGATTGGCGATTGGTGGGAAAGTGGGAAAGTGGGGAAAGTGCAACACTTATGAATAACCAACTACAGATGATGATTGATTTTGCATTTGCAGAGAATTCTTAAGCTATATTAAATATTGTACAAATTATGTGGCACTGCCAGCAAATTACCAAGATAGATTTCTGGCCAAGGTGTCAGCTCTCTAATCGATTTATAATTAAAATACATCTCTATTGTGTACATCAGCTATCGGAGTTTGATATCTACATATGTATGTGTACTGGGGGAGGCTACGATTAATTGAGTTTGGTTTTGAATTCAATGCATTGGCATACTTAATGGGTTTATCGAGCTAGTCGTGTGGCTAAAATATCACATGATATATTGTACATTTACTAGGTAGGTATACATATGTACTAGGCATCGAGGTGATTTGGTGGTGGAGGTGTGAGTGTGAATGTGAATGTGAATGGGTCTGTGGTTGCAGTTTCTATGGCAAAATGCTATAACCAAAGAGCGGCATAAATAAATAATTATTCACATTACAAATTCATTATTGGGTTTGTACACTACTTAAAAGTTTCAGCAACCTGAAAATAAACCCCATCAGAACCGAAAACCGAAAACCGACAACCGAAAAACGCAAAAACGGAAAACACAATACGAGGCAGCAACGAAAACTGGACCACAGCGAAATGAGTTAACTTTCATTTTGGGGGAGGTCCAGTTTCGGGGCGAAACTTTTGTAATATAGCAAAACTCAACATTTAACTGGGACTTTCTTGTCACGTTTGTAAATGCCCAATGCAGTCCGTATTTTCGTACTTTCGTTTACGTTTATTTATGCGGAGTCGCCGCCGTAGTCTCGCCTCTGATGAATCCACGAAAAGTCGGAAATAATTCGAAACGAAGTTGAGGGGATAATGCGCGCCTCCCCCCCCCCCCACCCCCCCTTCACACTCGCACTGACTAAGCCGATAAGATTTCCAGATTTATCATCATTGGCAGTGCAGACTGTCGGCATGGAATTAAGTATTGTTGCAGTTGCCACTACCGTTTTCCCATCTCCCCCATTGCAAATGCAACAAAATGCTGGCCATTTCTATGGGGCGGAAGCATGTGTCCAGTCTGTGTGTCCATGGGTATGGGTATGGGTATGGGTATGGCTATGGTCTGTGGGAGGAGGATGGAAAATTTATAGTTTTGCAATTTTTCCCATATTTCTCAGTGCTTCAGTGGCACCGAGTGGAATTTACTATGTCCGCCTGTGGCAGAAGCAGAAGTAGGAAACTTGTCCGGAACATATGGAGGAGCCCACTCTCACTCTCGATCTCGGACACATTTATTCCCAGCTATCGAACAGTGTAAACTTTGCTGCTCGACTTGGACCCGAAGGCCATTGTCTTTGCTCCACTTTAACTGGCCGTAGGTACAGCATTCAGCCGCTTTTAATTGCCACATGTGGCAGCAATCGTGATTGATCACTTCGGAGTGGTGGCAGGTGCACTTCATGGCAAATCGGAACCAATAAATGGCTAATAATAATAAAATAATAACGGATATGCAATGTGTACGTGCTGGAAATCAATTAGCTGGGATAATTGTCTACATTGGCGTGCAACATTTAGGTCAACCTCGTACGGCTTTGTGGGACAGAGTGTCATATATGGGAATTACTTTACTTATATGTATATACATTGAGGTTCTAGATATAGTAGTTATGTCTGAAGCTTGGACTGTTTTAGTTTTAGTTGGTGAATTTTGGTTACCTCAAAGTCAAAACGGTTGATACAGCGTGGTACATTTGATTTTGTCGGGGTGGTTGGCTGATTGTTCGCGATTAAGTACCGATATATCGATTGTATTGAGTGGCAAGTCAAAAGCATTGCAATTTCAATGCGTTAAGTGTTCAAATGAGATGGCATATATTGTACGTATGTATATATATATATTAATAGAGAGAAAGTGTAGAGAACATTAGTAGTCTGAACTTTGCCCAACTGAGCGTTAACTTAACCTAGAGTGGGGCTGGGCTGGACTGGACTGGTTTGTGGGAGGGCAGCTCCTGTGGCCGGGTTATCTGGGAATATCTGTTGGAGTGCCATGGCTGCATTGCATAATTCGAAGTGTGTAAATATGTACTTGCAATGCTTGGGGGCTTTCCGCGATTGCTTGAATAATTGTGCGCCTTTTCCGCAGGCTTTTAGGCATATTAACGTGCGGGCGGCTCCTTCTCTACTCCTCTACTCTTGCCCCGCAGGCACTATTTCATTTTGAATGTGGTCGGCACTCGCTCTTTCTTCTTTTTATGGGTGTGTATGTGGATGGGGATGTGGATGGGGACGGGACACTCGTACTTTGCTGTGGTTTCTGTTCGCTCTATGCCTGATAATGTTGTGTCAGAGGGCAGGGGAGGGGACGCTATATGGGATGGTGCGGGGTTGGACTTACCTGTCTGCTTGTTGTGCTGAACCAGAACCAGCAGGCTTTAGGCTCTTAAATGCTTTCAGCCACTTTGTTTTCATCGATGGCGCTGTGGCAGCGGAGAATTTGCGTTCGTTGCGCGGCGACGTAGGCTCAACTTTGCTCACGAACAGCTCCTTCTGCAAGAGGGAACGAGAGCAAGAAAGAGAGAGAGAGGAAGAGGGTACGGGCATTAGGCCAAATGCAATTTCCATTTAAACGTCTCACGTTGCAGCTTAATTACAAGCCATTTACACTTGCAACCCGTTTCCATTCCCATTCCCAGACCCATTCCCATTCCCAGTCCCATTCGCATTTCATTCTATTCCATTTGCAGCAAAACTTTGTCTGCTATTTGCCAGCCATTTTGATTTCTGTTTTCCCCTTACGACACAAACAGGACACACACACATGCCTGCACACACATACAGAGGTGGTTGCGGAGAGGGGGGTGGGGGGAGGAAGGGAGGAAGGGAGAGCAGCATCGTTATGGCATAATGGAGCCATGATTACATGGACAGTGTTTAGGCAGAGGCAAAGGAATGCTTAAATATTTAACTGATATTCTGATAGGCGACAGCGTTGAATAAAGCTATTTTAATTAATAATCAACACTTTGTCGAATGCCACAAAATGTAATTAGGCCTGGCACACACACACACACACACAGACGAGCTCTTATGGACAGAGTACGGAGCAGAACTCTTGGCAATAATTAAAACCACGTGTGACATTTGGTCACAGTTTAGTAAGCCTCGTTGTCCTAGTTGTCCCAGTTGTCCTGGGCTCTGTCCTTGTTAGAGTAGTGCAGATTTGCGTTGCATAATTAAATGAGTTTCGTGCATAGCACCGAAATATGTACATATCTGGGCGCCATATTGGTTTAATCAGTTATACCCTGCTTTATTATTGTTTAGACAGTACAGCCAGTACGGGTTTCATAGACCATGCTAGGTCTATTGCAAAACATAAAATCCCAAACCCAACGAGAAGTATTAGAGTGTTTTTATTTCGGCTAAGACGCAATTCTTGCAATGTAGAAGTGCTCTAGAAACGGATCTTAAAAGTTATTTCATGCCTATAATAAGAATAATTACAATAACAACAACAAGGCCTTGATCCACAAAAGTTTTCCTTCTGCAATTTCCATGTCATTTAATTGATTTTTCCTTCTGTTTGCTAAGGTCAATCAAAGTCATAATCTGAAGTGCATCTGACAGCACCGTTTCAGACCGATTCGCGAGAGACAGAAGCCGAGCTCGATTTTATGAGGCCAATGGCAGTGGCAGTGGCAGCGGCAGTGGCAGCGGCAGTGGCAGCGGCAGTGACAGCCAAAACAAGTTAAAAATCATTGCACTCAATGCAATTGGCGCATTTATAATGCATCAGGAGCGCGTTCGACTCGATTCGATTCGATTCGGTTCGGTTCGGTCACTCTTTGGTGGGTCTTTTTTCCACATGTTATTTTTAGCACTCTGACAGTCTGACAGAAACTGAAGGGGCGAGGCCACACTCACACATACAGAGAGCAAGGGGTGGTTGACAGGCAGGATATTAAGGCTGCCATGTGTCCCTTGTCCCGTGTCCATATGGTGGAGCGTCATATCAAAATCAATGCATCAGCCACAACCGTAGCAGAAGGAGCAGCAGAAGGAGCAGCAGCAGGAGCAGCAGCAGGAGTAGGAGTAGCTGAACAACAAAGGTTGAAATTCCGGTAAATAACCTTTTATGATTGCAGGAGAATCCGCTTATATAAATTAATTCTCTCGCAGCAATTGTAATTAAAAATTCATTTTTCAATCTTTTTCATCTTCGCCCAGCCCGTCATAAACGACAATGTTAAATGTGCAATTAATTGTTACGCAAATTCTTTGCAAATACGGAAATGGTGCTGGTTTTTCCAGCATCCTGCGTTCTGGCTTTAATCGGATTTCTGGTCCCAATGATTTAAGATGCCTTCGGACTTGTCAGAGCCCAGATAAGAAGGTCTCTGGCTCCCGGCTCGTGCTCTTTTGCTGGCTGGCAACGGCAACCAGCACATTTAAATGCTGTCCACCCACTCAGAGCCGAGTGGCCGCCCCCGTCTGGCCATAATGGACATGTGCCTGTCATGTTGCCTTTGTCATTGTCGGCGCCATTTGAAGGCGGGGTTCGGGCTCGGGCTCGGGCTCGGGCCAGGGCCATAAATTTATGCATGCAGTGCATAAAATTCAAATTAAAGGAGCTGCTGCACATCCTGCCAGCGACAAGTACACGTTTTGACACTTTACAACAGGCCAAGTCCCATCCAGGCCAGCATCGGAGCCCGCAGCCAGGCCAGCAGTCGACTGGGGATCGGGACCGGGACCGTGGACCTTGGGAGTGGGTCCTTAAACGGTATAGTGGTGCTGGTGGGCGGACAGCTGGGATGTGGGCATCCTGCATTTTGCATCGGGAGCAGCAGCTGGCTCTGCGCTGCAGCAGCTATACTCAAATCGAATGATGCTTTGGCCGGGACCAGAAAAGCTTAAAGCGCTAGTGCTCCAGTCCTCCGTGTCTGCCATAATCTGCAACCTAATTGATTTCGCCTGACTTTTAAGCTACTTTTCCAACCAAACGGAGAAAAGCAGCAGCAAAACAAGAAAATAGAGCAGGGGATTGGAGGGCCCTTGTTGGCCCTGTTTGAAGCCAGTTTCGTGCTTATTTTTTCCTCTTTTTTGGCTTTTTTGGCCACTTTAATTATCTGCTATCTGCTGGTTGGCCTCCTGTCTCCTTCTGTGGGTCCCTGGAGGGGAGCCAAACCAAATTTATGGCTGTCACAATTTTTAATTATGTTTCCCATTGCCAGATTGAAACCACAAAGGTATCGTAAATTGCACAGCCTTTCCAGCCAAAGACAAAACGGAACAAAGCGAACCGAACCGAACCAAACCGAAGCGAAACAACAATGATATTTCCTCATTAAGACCACAACAAAGCAGGCGGCAAAGCAAAAGGAATCTTTTGTGATTTCATGGTTGATCTGCTTGACCAACTGCTGCTCGATGCCACTTCCACCTCACAATAAGCATTTCAATTGGCCCACGATGAGCCATTCGAGCGGCAGCAATATGAGAGCATATTTTATTGCCACTTTGACGAGCAGCAGCCGGAGCAGAGGGATAGGGATGGATGTAGGCTATATAACCTATATTTTCCTACCCCGATTATGACTTTGTAATCCGGAGTACGTACGGATGTGGGTGTCTGGGTGTCTGGGTGTGTGTGTGTGCATTACGCGGGGAGGGAAAGTGGGAAGCTTCCACTTACTTCATGGCTTTTTCCCAGCTCCCACTAATTGCCGCTCCCGTAGTCGGGCTGAGTTAAGGATGCCGAGAGCTCTGCAAACATGGCCAAGACAATTTAGCAAACATGCAGCACACAGTGAGAGAGCGAGCGATAGAGACAAGGAGTGCCGGAGCGAAAGAGAAGGAGAGCGAGTGAGAGTGAGAGGGGGGGGTGGACGGACGGACGGGCAAACATTTCCGTAAATTACACGCATTTGTCAAAACGAAACAATGGGCAAAGTGTTTATTTGTTTTAGTGAGTGCTTTTGAGCGCAAAAATGACTCGACACAAAAACAGACAACGGGGTGGGGCCGTTGGGGATAGGGCTGTTGCAACTTCTAATGGGTTTGCTTGTTGCATAAGTGTGCTGTAGCGCGAAATGTAGAGCAGCTATTATGCAACCACATCGCTGACAATACACCCACCATCGATCCAATCCATCGCGATGTGATGTGATGTGATGCGATGCGATGCAGACCAAGGACCATGTGGCGTATACGCAATGCGAGTAAGCACTTTTCAATTTTCATTAACTGCGGCGGCAAATTACTGGCACAGCCACAGACATTGCCGAGGCACACTTTTTATTTGACAAGCAACGGCAACACCACTGCCAACAATCTGCGAGCGAAGATTGAGTCGACAGTCGACGGGACAGATGACACAGAGAAGTCAGGCCCGTCTGGGATGCTATGTGGTCCAGTGGTTGGCCGCACTTCGTGCTGTTCTGCCGCACTTTTTCGAGCGCTTAATAAATATGTTACTCGGCCTCGGATGTTAAATTTATGGCCAACAATTAAAATTTCACAATGTTGTTTGCCCTGGCCACACACTCTCTACTCTTTACTCTTCGCTCTGTGCTTGTCGGTATGAGTAAGCCGGGAAGCCAGGAGGCCAGGAAGCCAGGAAGCCCACCAGCAGCTGCTAGAGCAGCAGCAGGAGCTGGAGCTGGAGCTGGGCCAGCTGATAAGCTTAATCTGCTCACGCTCAACGCCTTCCTGGTCGGGTCGCATTGGGTCGGGTCGACGCAGACCAAGCCAGTATCGGCATCCTTAACCATTTGCCTGGCCTGTTGCGGCTTTTATTTATTTGCTTCTGTGGGGAGCATGGGTAAACCTCGCCACCGCCGGCCTTGGCTCCCCTCAAATTGTATGGCTTTATGAGGTGCTCCCTCACCCCTCACCCCCCACTCCCCTAGCCGCAACGTCCCTCTGCCACCACAATCTGGGCCAAATAAGAGAGCAGAGGCTTGCATTAAGCCGAACCGAAATCCTCAAGGATGTGGAAGGCGTGTGGGAAGTGTTGTGCGGTTCAAGCTGCGTGAAATGCCTTCTGATTCTTCCTGTAATGACACTTGCATTCACATCTTGGTCTGTTCTGTATGTAATTTGAATTTGGTGCCTCGACCTCGGCCTCTCCTTACTTTTTATTTTTATTGCACAAAACAAAATGGAATAAGGGGGAATATGCCAGGCCTGGACCTGGACCTGGCCCCCATGTTTCCACTTCTTTTTATGGATTTTCTCTTGGCTTCTGGCTGGTGTGCTGCTCCACCACGCATTCTACGTGACTGCCATCAATTTTCAGTGGCATTGCCGCATCATTTTGCATACAAACAGGTGAACGAGGGGGCAAGAGAGAGCAGAGCGGATGTCCTTGCGCTCTTAACTCGATTTTGAATTGGTTTAAAAGGCGTCATGTGCGACGACTGCTGATCACACCTGAAATGGAAAGGCGGATGGCAAGGCGGATGGCAAGGCGGATGGCAAGGCATGAGGGGAACGGGTAGATTCACTGACGAGTTTTCCCTTTTATGTGTTTGTATGATTATTGC